AATTCCTGCTCACGGGCCAATACCAGTGACAATTATTTGAACCGGTCCTGGGCCCTCCCCTAGGGCGACTCTGCTTCAAATGAGTATCTGATGCGGTGTGTAAACATCGCCAATGGGGAAACAAAGGCGGCCAGGCGTGGTGCTGGCCACCCACCCCCTCGTGTGCCATGCTGGCCTGCATCGGTGCTCGCTAACAGCACTTGCCCCAATAGCCTGTTAAGGCCATAATGTGGGAGCAGGGATCTTTGTCTTTGCCTGTGTGCTGCTGCTGAACTTGTGCTCTGTGTCTCGCAGGTTACGCATCACCACACCCGTCCCCGCTGGGGGGCCCAGAGCACGCGTCCAGTCCCATGTCGGGGGGAGGGCCCCCCACTTCATCCGTGCCCATGGCCTCGAACCCGAATGGCCCCCCTCCAAAGGGAGATGCCCAGGCTTCAGGACCCGCTGTGCCAAATGCAGGTTCGGACTTCACCGAGCGAACGTCGTTGTAGGCGCTTTCATTTTACGTTTGCCGAGCACAAGCCGGCCAAAGGGGTCCAATACGCCGAGAAAGGCCAGCAACAACAAAAAAAGCACCGTCAGAGTTATAATAGATGAGTGTAACTCTTTTTTTGAATTGAGGAAGGAATTATTCCAAGAGTTTGGGGAAATAGACGATGTAAGGAAATTCCAAGGTGGAGCAGTGCGAGGAAAATTTAGCGGAAACACTTAAGTATTGTGACTTGCTGCCCAGTGATTGAACACCGTTTGGACGAGACCAAACTGTTTTTGGTAGACCTAGTTCTCAGCATGTGAGGAGGAACCGACGAGTGAGGGATCACGGGAAAGGTAGCGATGGCAGTAGCGATAGAAGAGTGATAATGAGGTGACCGATAGCCGGTAAACAAGTGACCGGAGTGAATCCGTGACTGCTACATTATCACTCACCCCGACTGCTTTAGGTGATGGTATGGGGCTTCTTCACAGCACCCAAGTGCTTTGAAGAAATGTTGACTTTTTGGAATTCGTCCGTGTGCAAGGCTGTGAACGCAGCAGCAATCACCAAATGGTCTTTACGAGCACCGACGTGCTTTCACCAATGCTGTCGGTGTTGCCTGTCGCCAACAGCGAATGGGGGGCCCGGCGCCCCCTCCCCGTTTAACCCGATGCAGCTGCAGCAGCTACGGGCGCAGATCATGGCCTACAAGCTGCTGGCGCGGGGGCAGCCGCTCCCCGAGGGACTGCAGATGGCGCTGCAGGGCAAGCGCCCCATGGGCGGGCTGGCGCCCCCACAGAACGCGCAGAGCCAGCCGCCCCCTCCCCAGCAGTCGGCCCAGCAGCCGCCCCCCCTGGGCTCTCCTCCGCAGGGCCACCTGCAGCACCAGCCGCCGGCATTCGGGGGCCGTCCGCAAGGTCCGTCTGTCTGTGTCTGTCCGTCTGTGCGTCCATCCATCCGTCTGCCTTTTATCCCTTTAATTTTGATCAGTTACAGGCCCAAATCGTCACATGGCCGGAAACATACGGCGCTCATCAAAGTTGTAATCGTCCAGAGGTGACGCGTTTCTTGAATTGAGTAAGGTTATTCTTTGGGTCTTTCGGTAAAGTCATGTAGATAGAACAATAAAATAATAAAAATTAAAATAAAGTGAATCAAAAATAATAAAAATATCATGACGTTTTGATCGCAACACAAGCAATCGTCATAATATTTTAATTATTTTATTGTTCTATCGACGTGACTTTACCGAAAAACCCAAAGAATATGAATTCCTGCAGTCACGAAAGCTTTAAGTGAAGATTTGAGTAAGGTTGTTATGATAAGAGCTTGGGGAAAATGGACGATGATGATGATGAGAGAGAATTCCAAAGTGGAGCAGTGCGAGGAGAAGAAGCAGAAAGAAATGCATTGTGACCTGCATTGTGGTGAGTGAAGTGGGTGAGTAGGTGAGGGAGTTAGTGAGTAGGATAGTAAATGAGTGGGTGTGAGTTGTTGTAAACTGCAGTGTGGTGGTTGGAATAGACAACACAAAACAGTAAGTCTGGTGGGGGAATCAATAAGTGAGTTTCACAGGAACAGTAACCGTGTTAGTAGCAATAGAGGGACAGGGAGGTGACTGGCTGCAGGTGAGTGAGCATGTGACTGGTGTCAATTCGTGACCACTGGCTCATATGTGTCTCTGCTTGTGCATACGCTGCCTGCATAATCACGGTGCCTTTATTTGCACTCAGCGTATCTCTTGTGTGGTTAGTTGTGTTATTGCATATCTGGGTGCTTGTGTTAACGTGTATGTGGGTTTTGCATATTGTTCAGTCAACTCCTGCGTCCGTGTGTGCAAATACGTGTGTGTGTAAATACGTGTGTGTGTGTAAATACGTGTGTTTGTAAATACGTGTGTGTGTGTGTGTGTAAATACGTGTGTGTGTGTGGGGCAGCGGTTAGTGCACGAGGCTACGAACCTGGTGTCCCAAGTTCGATTCCTGCTCACGGCCAACACCAGTAACAATTGTCTGAACCGGTCCTAATTCTTTCCTCGGTCTACCCAGCCTCAAATGAGTACCTGGTGTGGTGTGTTAACATCACCACTGGAGAGACAAAGATGGCCGGGCAAGGTGTTGGCCACCCACCCCCTCGTGTGCCGTGCCAGCCTTCATAGTTGCTCGCTAACAGCATTTGCCCCAACAGTCTGTTCATGCTATACGGGGGATCTTTGTCTTTATATAGTTACCGGTGTGTGTGTACCTGTGCAGTGGTGGTACAGTGGTTAGCGCGCTGCTCTACAAATGTTAGTTCAATTCCCGGCCACCATTAACATTTGTGATGAGTGATATCTAAATACAGCCCTGAGCCATTGGTTGATATTAAACATTCCTGTGGCAAGGGGTGAGTCTGTCCTAAAAATAACCACTTGACTTTCCCTATAAACTAGTACTAAATGAATTGACCCCTGAGAGATGATGGGCTGAGCCACCTGGCTCAGATAAAAACAAACCCACAATTCATTGTGTGTAACGTGTGTGTGTATGTGTTCTGTGGTGACGTTAATTAGGGATGGGGGTGCCCCCTGTTCCGTCCGGGGCACCTGTGGGGGCTCTGCCCGGGATGCCGGCTCAGCAGCAACACCCCCCCACCAACACCAAGCCCTGGCCTGATGGTAACACGCCACACAGCAGCATCAGCATCAATGGAAACGTACATTATTATTACTACTACAGTAGTCCCTTGGTTAAGAGTGACATTGGTTAACGGTTTTTCGGTTAACGTTTCGTCTCCCACAGGACCCCATGGTTTCGACGAACGTTAACATTTTGATTCACGGTATGTTTACGTTATGCATGCGGGCACCAATTTCGGCCAACCCGAGTGCTTGTAAGTGGGGCTGAGCCATGCCCTCAGCCAATCAGCGACGCCCATTTATGAGCGTTTAGACCTTTAATGGCTTTGTTTATATTACGTTTTATGTATTGGCAGTGTAAACAGCTCTCTTGCAGACTCGAAATCAATTAACAGTTTTTTTCGGTTAACAGTAGTTTTCGTGGAACGGACTAAAAACGTTTACAGAGGGGACATACGGTACTATGCTCGTTCACCAGGAAAACCTCACCGAGGCTCGACTCTTTCAAGAGGGTCCTGATGAATTGTGAAGACGATAGCAATGGCGGTTCTGCCGTGGTATGATGTTAACTACCTTGCCGGGTATGCAGGAGTTCATGGGGTTCCATCCCGACCCTGACACCTGTTTGTTTGGAGTTTGCATGTTTCTCTCTTTCCCCCGTGATCGCGTGGATTTTTCTCCCGGTCCTCCGGTGTTTCCCTCCACATTTTGAAAAGTGTGTTTAGAGTATTTGGCTGCTATAAATTTCCATATGATAAGCCACTTCATTGAGCTATCATTTGTGGCGAGGTCGCATCTCAAAAAGCGCTGTATGGCACAGTGGGCCTTACCTGGTAAAATAGATTGACTGCTGCCGTGTGTAATCCCAATGTAATGTGTGGTGTTTTTTGTTTTCAATTTTGTATATTTTTTTCCGTGAAGCCAGCACACAATTGTATAGGAGTAGGCTTTCACGGGGTCTTTTACTGTCCACTGTGAGTGAAGCAGACGGCCTTGCTGTATTTTATGGTTCATGCTCACTCAAGCATTAACCAGAGGAGCATGCTGGAGTCGAACCTTTGCAACAAATGGCGAACGTGCTACTACCTCAGGGCAGCTGCGTCATTGTTTACAAAGACACCATTGTTGCATTTTGCAAATACCTGATTTTATTTTTTAATTAAAAAACCCAGAAAATACCGAGAGACGGAACATCTTGTTTACAAAGGTATCCAGGGGTCGATTCGCACACTTGCATCGCAATCACATGATGACACGTACACACACAACCACGAATATACACACACAGATATACACGTGCACACTCGCCCACACTAACCGACACGTATATCCACACCCATGCATATACACAGATATACGAATGTACGCTCACCCACACACTCACCCACACATAATGACAGGTATACACACACGCAATATACAAAGATACACATACATACACGTAATAATTCACCACCCTACACATTCACTCACCCACACACTCACCCACATGTATACACATATGCACACAATATGCAAAGATATACATACACGTAATCGCTCACCCACCTACACAAACAAATACACATTCACCCATGCACCCAGACACATATACGCTCACTCATCCAAATATGCACATATAAACTCAAACACTCGTAAAACACACATAAAATACTGCAAAGGCGAGACTGGTGGCGTACCCTCATGCGTGTGTGGGAGATCGTTCCGTGTTGAAGCAGCAACTCCGTGTCAGCGAGGGTGGTCCTGGTCGGCTTTTGTATTGGTCGTCGTTGTTGTTATTGTTGTCTCAGGCCCACCCCAAAACGCGGCAGGAGTCCCCAGAAAGTGGCGCCCCCACAGACGGGCACAAGCCGGCCGTCTCCCGCCCAGACCCCCGTGCCGGCCCCGCACGCTGCCGTCACGCCCGTGAGCGCGCCCACGGCCCCTGCGCACCTGTCGGGCCCGCCGGGGCCTGGCGGTGGGGCCCAGCAAGGCCCCTCCACTACCGCTGGGCCCCCAGGGGCCCGTGCCGCACCAAGGCGGCGGCGGAGGTGGTGGCGCCGCGCCGCTTCAGTCGAAGCAGACCAAGATGGTGCCGGTGCAGAAGCCTCGTGGCCTGACCCCGTGGAGATCCTGCAGGAGAGAGAGTACAGGTGCCGCCTGCACTCGGATCGTCGTTTTGCACTGCGTAAGGCGCTCTGACGTGCCCAGCAGCTGTAGTGCGTTCGCCGATTGATGCGGAGATTCACGGCTCACATACGTATGTATGTACGTACATTTTGTATGTACAGTATGTTGAAATTCTTTCGCACCATACGTAGACAACCGTGCTAATCGGAGGTGCGGGGGAAAGACAACAAACTAGACACAAAAAGCAATTCTAAAGAAATTAGTTTTCAATCTAGATTAAAAAGTCCATAGCTCCAGTGGCTTCCTAATATCGGAAGAGTGTTCCAGACGGCCGCAGACGCACCCTGATGCATACTGCGTGGTGTGCGAGCGAGCAAGCAAGCAATTGCAGGGCTGCACCTTTACATTTTAACTGAGAACTGAGAGGATAAATAATAAACCACGTGGTGACTTAGGCCTGCACCATGTAGTTTTTGTACATTCGCTCTGTCCATCTGCGCATTCATTACGTTCCACTGGAATCGGTTACCCGATGCCGACTGAACTGGTAACCGATTGCGAGAGCGGTTACCGGTTAACAACCCTCGTCCATATGCAGGCTCATGCATGCACCAGCATGGATGGGAATTGTTCCATGGGTTTCATTCTCTTAAAGACCCAAGACCCACGTGGCATCATGGCCTGAGCCAGTGATGCCACCAGTGGTGGTTAGTGGTCGGAAACGATGCAAAAGGTGGAGCACCAGGTTCCCAGTACTCGTGGGGTTCATTGACCTCTGAGAGGCTTATCTGCCTTCATGATTCAACAGATGACCCAGGGACCCACAAACCAATTTCATGAGGAGAACTATAGACTTTGTTTATAAACAGGCAAGATTTGTTTGTGGGTTTTCCATATTGTGCAGTCAACTTTTGCTTATGTGTATAGATGTATGTGTGTGTGTGTTGTGGGGAGCGGTAGTGTGTTGTGGGGAGCGTGCTGACCTACGAACCCGGTAACACGAGTTTGATTCCCGCTCACGGCCAATACCAGGGCCTCCCCTAGGTCAACTCAGCATCAAATGGATATGTGGTGCGATGCATAAACATTGCCACGAGACAGACAAAGGCGGCCGGGCGTGGTGCTGGCTACCTACCCACTCTCTTGTGTGTCGTGCTGGCCTTCATAGGTGCTCGCTAACAGCACTTACCCTTACACTCTGTGAAAGGTTATACGGGGGATCTGGTTATAGAGTGGTAAGCGAACTGTGCTATGAACTCGGCGACCCAAGTTAAATTCCCACTTGTGACAAACATTCATACCGAATATCTGAACTGGTTTTGGGCCCCCCTATGCATACAGGGTGTGGGGTGTAAACATTAGCACTGGGAGACAAAGGCGGCGGGTGTGATGACGGCCACACCTTCCTCCTTTTATTCGCCATTGTGCTTCATGGGTGTCACTATCCAACAGCACTTGCCCCATCGGTTTGTTAAGGCTATACGGGGCACTATTTTCTTTGTTGTAGGCTGCAGGCTCGGATTACACATCGTATTCAGGAGCTTGAAGGACTCACGGCCGCGCTGCCCTTTGATCTTCGTACCAAGGCCACCGTGGAACTCAAGGCCCTTCGTCTGTTAAACTTCCAGCGCCAGGTAAGTGGTGCGCGGGTTCCACTGTGGTCACGGTGGTCACGGAGGTCACGGAGGTCATGGAGAGGAGATTGAACCTGGACATCTGCGTCCTCACGGCACCATCGCACCGGACCTGTGGCCTCTGGGCTTACTGCTGAAGCAGTGAACTGAGACTCTTGATTGTTGGTTTATTCAACCAAAGTTCCCTTGTCTAAAAACAACTCTTGAAAATCGATTACTTTTTGTGCATAACTTGCTAGTAGTAGCACCTCCGATTAGCACGTTAAGCTACGTACAGTGATAAAGAAGTTCTATATGCATACAATAGGGCAAGCTTCTCATAAATTAAGTTGCAAGTTGATTTTGTTGAACTGGGTGAGAACTCAAGAGACCAGGATGAGTCTCAATTGTAAGTGTGACCTGGGTCACGAACATGACAAAGCAGTAACATAGAAACAAAGCGTAGCAATGAAGCAAAGAGATATCAGAGCAGAGGCAACGAAATTGCAATCAGAGCAAAAACAACCAACATAGAAATCAGAGCAAAGACACAGAAATTTACGTAAAATACGTTTCCCTTAACAAAGGCTACATTTTAAAAACCATTCTCGATGGTCGAATTAAACATCAACGCGGATTTCGGGCGAATATCGCAGCCGCAGCACAGAGCGCAGTGCCGGCACGTTGACGTTGATGTCGCGCCCCACACATCAGTCGGTTACCTCGTGCGAGCGCGCCACTCGCTCGCTCACTCGCGTGTGCACGTCTACGTGTGTGCAGCTCCGGCAGGAGGTGGTCGCGTGCATGCGACGCGACTCCACCCTGGATACGGCCCTCAACGCCAAGGCGTACAAGCGCAGCAAGCGGCAGTCCCTGCGTGAAGCGCGCATCACCGAGAAGCTGGAGAAGCAACAGAAGATCGAGCAGGAGAAGAAGCGACGGCAGAAGCATCAGGTGCCCGCGAACGCTACATATGGCCCTCTCCTCCCGGCAGGTCGGCATCGTTGCTTGAGACTGGTCCGTCGTCTTGGCGTCAGAGTTAAACTAAAGTTATTTTTAACTTTCATATTTATCAGGCCCACTGAGCTATATATCTCTTTTTCAGAAGCGACCTGGCCACAAATGATAGCTCAATGCAGATCATGTGGAAATTTATATCAGCCGAAGAAAAATCCACGCGACCACGAGGAGAATGTGAAAACTCCAAATATACAGGCATCATCGTCAGGGTCGGGATCGAAACCACGACCTGCATACCAGGCGAGGTAGTTAACATCTCGTCACTGCAGCGCCCAAGCCAAGTTGAAAAAGCCAAAGTGAATCTCAAATGAGCACTGAGGCACTGGGGCTCATTTCTCGTTTACAGCCCTGCAAATCCCGTGGTGGAAATTCTTTATTCCTAAAGCAGGGGCGAGTATATCCATAGCACATAGAAGGATAATGGGCTGAAGTAGATGTCTTTGTGTGTGTGTTTGTCTTTGTGTGTGTCTTTGTTTTGTGTGTCTTTGTTTTATGTGTGTGTGTTGGTGGGGAGCGGAGTTCGATCCCCGCTCACGGCCACCAACACCAGTGATGTTTATCTGAACCGGTCATGGGCCTTCCCTAGGTCGACTCTGCCCCAAATTAGTACCTGGTGCGGTGTGTAACCATCACCACTGGGCAGACAAAGGCCGCTGTGCATGGTGTTGCCCACCCACTCTCTCGCATGCTATGCCGGCCTTCATAGGTGTGCGCTAACAGAACTTGGCTCAATAGTCTGTTCAGGCTATACGGGGGATCTTTTTCTTTTTTGCGTTTGTGTGTTTGTGTGGTAAATTTGTTTAGCTCTGGATTAGTGGCTGAATTGTTTGGTCATACCTTCATCGGTAAGGCTTCTGCCGATCAACCATTAGAGATGCTGCTGTAAGTGATTTGACAAATTGATTGCTTTGTGTGAGTTGGTGAATTACAGAACCACTATCAACCCACACCACACTCCACCCCATTCCACCCCACCCACACCCCACCCACACCACACTCACGCTGCGCGGCACGTTTCCAGACTGGCGTCATCATCACCTCCGATTAGCACGGTTGGCTACGTACTGTGCGAAAGATGTTCAACATACGAACGCGTACACCTGAGCTGAATTGTATCTCGTCTCCCACGCTGATGCTGCTCGGTGCTCCCCGTGTGTAGGAGTACCTGACCAGCATCTTGCAGCATGCCAAGGACTTCAAGGAATACCACCGCTCCATGGCGGCCAAAGTGCAGAAGCTGACCAAGGCGGTGTCCACGTACCACGCCAACACGGAGCGTGAGCAGAAGAAGGAGAACGAGCGCATCGAGAAGGAGCGCATGCGGCGCCTCATGGTGGGTCGCGTCGCGGGGGGCCACCCCTTGCCCCGTTGCACGCTTGGTCAAGCGTAACCAACGTCAGACCTACGGAGCTTGGGCAATTTGTCAGCGTCGGTTCTGGCTGCCTTCCCCCGGCTTTGTCTTTGGTTTTCCGCACACCTCCGTGCAAATAACTGCATGCATTACACATTAATTTTATCGATTTTTTGTGAGGTCACGATACCTATTTCAGGAAGCTTGGTCAAGTGACGCCGTTACCTGTTGTTGTCCTGACGATGTTTGCGGTAGTTTTGAGTGAAACGTTCCTCCTAATTGCTGCTAAATTTGGTTATGAGAATTGTTCTTCAACCCGGCGGGTGAGTGAACTGAAATGATAAAAACTGGAATGTCGTTAAAGCTTTTACACCATGTGATAGTTTTTTTTGCTGCATTGCGTCAGGTGGTGGAGGGTTCTTAACGCAGATTTGGTCAGATCATCACGTTGTGGCCCAATGACAAAAACACTATTACGAATCAAACTCTGTAGCGTTTTGAGATAAACTTTGCATTCATGATTTTACGTAACATTTTTATAAAAAATCTATTTGCATTCAGTGGCCAGATAGAATAAACAATGCAGAAGTCCTGCAGAGAACACGGTGCAGGTGAGTGCTATAGCTACGATTCGGCGTAAACGATTGCGCTTGGTGGGCCGTGTGTGCAGTATGGCTGTGGGGCACATTGCCGAGACCGGCATTGCAGTGGTTTCCACAAGTCTGGCGACCAAGGGGAAGAGAAGACCTAAGAGCAGACGGTTAGGAGACTGTTGGTGCATATGTTGCGGGGTCGCTGCATGTCGACCGTGCAACAGCGGGGAGGGTAAAAAGGCATTGGCATTGAAGTTTTGTGGTGGTGGTGGCGATGCCATCCTGATCTTGCGTGTGCTTGCGTCGGCCTTCGGACGCAGGCCGAGGATGAGGAGGGCTACCGGAAGTTAATTGACCAGAAGAAGGACAAGCGGCTTGCGTACCTGCTGCAGCAGACGGACGAGTACATCGGTAACCTCACGGACCTGGTGTGCGAGCACAAAGCCACGCAGGCAGCCAAGGACCGCGAGAAGAAGAAGAAAAAGAAGAAGGTGAGTGAGGCTTTTGAACGCCGAGGCCCTTGTTGGGAAATATTGCGATTGTGAGCAGTCCGACCTCCCCGTGTTATCTGGGAAATAGCTTGCTCGAGTCTGTATAAAGTTGAGAATCGGAATCGGAACTTTTATTTATCCTGGAGAAATCCAATGAGCTGTGAAGGTCTTTTTCACAGATGTCGAGGAAGGGGGTTGGTCATAAATTTGCAACAACATCCATACACAATAGGAGTGAAAAGGAAAGGTAAGCAAGTCACTAAAAGTTAAATATGTAAAATAGATAAGTATATGAGTTCAAATTATGTAAGTACACCAATTGCCAAGCTTCGGCAAGGCAACAACACAGTCCTTCAATAGAATTGCACATTAAAATGTTACTCTCGATACTACATGGGTATTAATCCCACAGAGGCTGCTGAGATATTGGTGGTTTGTTGTGCAGTAGTCAAATTGAAACTAATCAGAGGTGAAATTTTAGCCAAATTATTTTCAGAACCCATATTTGAGTGTCATTTTTTTTTGTGCAATTGGTAACTGGAGCTGCCGTGGTTTAATCGGGGTCCATGTTGCCAGTCCGATTCAATCTCCCGGCGCGGCAGTTTAAACACACCTCTGCCAAACCCAGCAGTGTGAATGGGTACTACCCACGGTTAGTCGATCGGCAAGTCCTCTGTGGTGGGGTAGAGTGTGGGCAACTCCCACATCTTCCAGCCCCTTCTGGTCAATTTTGTAAGAGTAGACCAATTACCCCTCAGGGAATTTGCTGTAGTGGAAGCCCCTTCCGGAAGGAAGTGCGTGAGCAAGCAATTGCAAGGCTGCACCTTTACCTCTTCACCTTTACCACCAGTGACCAAGCTGACACTACCATGGTGGCTGTCGGCATAGGAAGGCTGATGCATTGTAATGTTGGGCACGATCTGTGTTTAACAGAAGGCGGCAGAGAAGGCGGACGGAGGAGCGGTGGGCCCCGATGGAGAGGTGAGCCATTGACCCCAAGAGCCAAGTAGCAGCATCTGATGCTCATTCAGATGATGCTCATCTGATGCTCATTTAGACCTCACAGCAACATAATCGTCCCTCGAGAGTATAAACCCGATCAGACGCGCCCTCGCTCAGACACAGAACCGCTGCTTCAACACGGAACGATCTCCCACACACGCACAGACACACAGACACGACACTACGCCGCCAGTCTCGGACGATTGAAGCCTCTGATTAAAACTTGTACAGCATGAGCAGCTGTCGCGGAATGAGTGCGTTCTACTTGGCGCGGCGGTAGGCACCACTTTTTTATTGATTGGATTCTGGCTTAGCAATCATTGGAAGGATTTGATAAACCATTTTGGGTCTTAATTGATTGTTCACGCTTACGGTGGCTTTCAGACTGCATCCATTATTTTCGTCTCCCCCCTCCTCTTTTCCGAACATAGATGGACTCGTCCATCTGAATAACTGCCAAATCGCTCTTCGTGGTGCTAACGTTAAAAAAACCGCCACTTTTTTCAAATTTTCTTGCTGTGGTTTTCACACCTGATGATGATTGCTTGTGTTGCAGTCGAAACGTCCGGAGAATTTTATTATTATATATTTTTATTATTTTATTGTTTCCCTTCTACGTTACTTTACCGAGAGAACCAAGAATATGAATCCCTACAGTCACGAAAGCTTTAAATCAAAATGTAACGTTCCATCTCAAGGAATTTCCAAGTTAAAAATGTTGATGGTTAAAAAAATATATATTCGATATTGTTGCAAGCATACAAGACGATGCTGACCTTGTGCTGCTGCTGCTGCTGTCGCTGTGTTTGTGGCTGCGTCACAGCCGCTGGATGAGAGCAGCCAGATGAGCGAGCTGCCGGTGCGCGTGATCCACGTGGAATCGGGGCGGATCCTGTCGGGAGAGGACGCCCCCCGGGCCAATCAGCTGGACGCCTGGCTCGAGATGAACCCAGGGTAACTTTTGTTGGCAGGGCCCATGACACACGACTCACACAGAGAAATCTCGGCATCCGAATCAAGAGCCATGTCCTCTTGCTCCTAAGGTCAATTAGGCATTGGTGCTTATCTCCAGTTCACAGTCCTGCAGAGCCAGTTGTGTCCAAAGCCTCCGTCTTTATTTCCGAACTGCAACTACTTTTTTACAAAACTTGCATTTGGCTGTAGTTGGTATACTACTCTAAACACATATTGATTCTAAATGTGGAGGGAAAAAAACGGAGGACCCGGAGAAAACTCCACAAGACCACCGGGAGGACATGAAACCCCAAATATATAGGTATCAAGGTCGGGAACGAACCAACGACCTCCTGTATACCAGACGAGGTAGTTCCTTCTCATAGCCACCGTGGCGCCCCAAACAGAAAACAACCCAAACAGGTTTGCTTTGCCACGCGGAATCGCGACGTGCTTCCGTGTGTTGCAGATACGAGGTGGCGCTGCGATCCGACAGCGAGGAGAGCGGCTCAGAAGACGAGGAAGAGGTATGTGCGCAAATCACACAGCCAGATAATTGCGTCAGGAGTTGCGGAGTGGTGCATCGCTTTTGATGGTGCCTCCTTCGTATTTGTGAATCAGGCATTGAGTCTCTCGATGATCTTGTGGTCTCTTTAGGATGACCCCAGTCGCCGCACTCTGCCGTGGAGTTTTCTATTTGCGCATCGAGTGTCCGCATCTGCTGCCATGGCTTGTAGGGTTGATGAACACAGTCACACGAGTTAACTGTGCTGCTGAGAGTCGCCCAGCAACAGTGGACGAGAGAGGTTTTCGCTGCCTGAATTTAAAATTAAATTTTCCCACTTTATTTGGTGTGTTGCTGAAGTCACCCTCCTGGTCCCCCTAGACATTCCCACTTTTAATGGAATTAGAAGTGGGAATGTAACACCACGGTGGAGAAAAAGAGCTTCACAGCTCATCGGATTACTCCAGTGAGTGCCAGCTGTGATACACACCGATTGTGTCTCTGGACCAACCGTTTGCTGTAGACCAAGGCGGCTTGCGTAGCTGTAGACCCAGGCGGCTTGCGTAGCAGCAGGCACGCTGCAGCAGCACGCACGTCAACATCAGCAGCAACAGATTTTGAGACGGTAGCAGCAGTCGGGTTCGTGAAGCCTCATCTGGCATCAGATTCACCTGATCTAGCAACAGATTCACCTGACCTGGCATCAGATTCACCTGATTTGGTATCAGATTCACCTGATCTGGCATCAGATTCACCTGATCTGGCATCAAATTCACCTGATCTGGCACCGTATATTTTTTTCTCCGAGTCCTCCGTTTTTTGCCCTCCATATTTAGAAACATACATTTAAACTATTTGGCTGTTATACATTTTCAAAATGATAAGCCATGTAGTTGAGCTATCATTTGTAGCCAGGTCGCTCCTGAAAAAGAGCTACAAAGCTAAGTGGGCTTTCTCTGGTAAAATAAAAATAGTTTAGTTTATCTGCAATCAGACTTCTTCAGGCCTACTGGTTCTTGGTGGGGTGGTCGACAGAGGCTGGGTGGAAGGACGGCGACTTAAGTAACAAATGTTGTAACGTTCTCAGCCGCCCTCCTGGACATCTGTGAAAGAGAGCTTTATAGCTCATCGGATTCCTCCAGTATAAATAAATCTTCTGATTTTAGTAATAGGTTTTACCCTTTTAACTGGCACAAAAAACTGACACCTTTATTCAAGGCATCATGTCTGCAATAACCACAACACAGGCAGTCAAAATGCAACCAAAAAGACAACTCTGATAATAATATGCACTGTCCTTGAATTTGATTGGTCCACACCCGAGACGGCTTTCTTTAGATCAAGCTGTGATGGCTGAATGAAGTAGAAATAAACCATTTGGGGAATAGAGGTATCACGACCTTCTCAATCGAACCTTCACCCTGCTCAGGATGATGAGGAGGAGGACGACAAAGAGGACGAGGTGCCCCACCAGCCGCCATCTTCCACCGAGGAACGCAAGAAAATCACGAACCCCGACGAGGTTCCGGAGCACGTGGCCAAGGACATTATTTTGTGAGAATCCTCGCGTTGCTCCCACTTTGGGATTTCCCTCCCATCTTCTCTTTTCCCCACGAGCTCTTCTTCCTCTGGAGGTCACCCACTTACGCAGAACAGTAGTGCACACACAAACAACCTCTCGCCTCTACGGCATGCAGTCATTCACCAACGCACTACTTACTGCACACTATAGCGGCCTATTCCCACCACATGCGACATGCCACAGTGCTCCCACAGCACATTAACACGACGCGACTCCTTCACGCACGTGCTCACTCCCAACCATGGCAACAGCAGCAGCAGGATCACTGGCAGCAGGCGTACGCCACACTGCACAGATGGGCGAATGTAGACGCAGTTTGCAACAGGGGTTGCGGCTGAGCAGAGGCACGCCCTCTTCTCCCCCTCCGCCTCCCTGTCCAACACTCGCCACCCCCCACGCTACAGATTCCCCACTCCTGATCAGGCCTACCGCTCTTACCCCAACTCGGCCCTTGGCCGCCAGTAGCACAAACAAAAGTCAACTCTGTTCCTGACAACTCCAATTTTAACCCCCTCCACCGCCAGCGATTTCTCCATACATTGAGAGCATAAGAACGTCTGGCTGAAGAAGAGAGGAGCTACCTGCCTGAATAGGCCTAGACAGCGGTGTTGAAAGAGGTCCTCTATTTTGAGGGACGAGGTCCTTCCTCTGTGTGTATACCGCGATATTTTCTGGTATGCGTCGGGATTTAAATGTTTCGCGTTGTCGTCTGTCCGTCCGCCACTAGGAGCGCCAAGCAGGACGTGGATGATGAGTACAAGATCAAGGAAGGCATGGACCTGATCGGCTCCTCCTCCTACTACGCCATGGCTCACGCCATCACCGAGTCCGTGGATCGCCAGTCGTCGCTCATGATCAACGGCTCCCTCAAGATGTACCAGGTGAGCCCTGTCCCACGTGCAACCGCCTGCCGCACTCATGGGGTGTCGGATGCAGGGGCCCGGTGTGTATGCGCATCTACACACGTGCACGCGCGCATGCGTCACACGTGTGATGCGTGTTCACTCGGCGCATTGTGGGGCGGCAGGTTGGCGGCGCCGTGGTGACACTTGTGCCACACAGAACAAGAAGGTGCCTGGGTTCGATTTCCAACTCGGGCGTCTTTCTGTGTGGAGTTTGTATGTTCTCTCACCTGTTGTGCATGGATTTCCTCCGAGTTTTTTGGTTTACTCCTATAGCGAAAAAACATTGTCATTGGTGTTGATTAAATATCCCAATGTAGCAGCAGGACCCTTTTGTAAAATAGTCTTTGGACTCAGTGTGGCTTTCCTGGATAAGTAACTAAATATATATAAATTTTGATTTAAAGCTTTCGTGACTGCAGGGATTCATATTCTTGGTTCTTTCGGTAAAGTCACGTAGAAGGGAAACAATAAAATAATAAAAATATAAAACAATAAAATTCTCACGACGTTTCGACTGCAACACACCTGATGATGATTGCTTGTGTTGCAGTCGAAACGTCGTGAGAATTTTATTGTTTTATATTTTTATTATTTTATTGTTTCCCTTCTACGTGACCTTACCGAAAGAACCAATAATATAAATACATATACATACGATGACGTGAATCTGGTGTGCTGTGCAGTGTGAGATTTGTTATCTCTGTATAGCGCCACCACGTGTCCAAACACCGTAACGTTTTGCAAAGCGCCCAGTGTCCACGCGGCAAATCGCAGCAGAACAAACTATTTCGCGAGCCCTGTGTTTTTACACTGGAACGCTGAGCCTGTGCCGTGTGATGCCGATTGACAGGTGCAAGGCCTCGAGTGGATGGTGTCGCTCTACAACAACAACCTCAACGGCATTCTGGCGGACGAGATGGGGCTCGGCAAGACCATCCAGACCATCGGGCTCATCACCTACCTCATGGAGAACAAGCGTCTCAACGGGCCCTACCTCATCATCGTGCCGCTCTCGTCAGTCACCTCCTTATCCTCCGCACTTCTGTTAGGAAGCCGCTCGAGCTCGGCACTTTTAAATCTGGATTGAAAACTAATTTCTTCAAAACTGATTTTTGTGTTTCGTTCGTTGTCCTTCCCCCACACCTCAGATGAGCACGGTTGTGTACATATGGTGCAAAATAATATCGATATACAAACATCCTATAGCTACTACCGTGGTTGATTATTTACATCCATGTTGAGGACTTGATTCTTCCAGACTGTTTTGTCTCATCCACACTGTTCAGCCTTCACCACACTGTAGGTCACAACAACACACCTCCGATTAGCACGGTCTGCACCTCCGATTAGCACGGTTGACTCCGTTTAGGTGCGAAAAAAGTTCAACATACATTCATACCATCATTCACTCACCCGCCTGTTCACCGAATCACGCACCCACCAAACCACCCACTTACCTACCAAACCACACGTTCACTTGCTGTTATCTGTTACAACTCTGATAGTGTTGCTGGCCGCTTGATGTGTTGGGCCTTTGGGGACTTGCGCCCAACAACTGTTGAAGAGACAGTAATTTTGCTGAAGATTGTAATGACGATCCCTGAATGGTGAATGTCCTTGATTATGCGGGAGCTGCATTCATGTAACGGTCAGCACAGTGGACTTGCCAGTGGTCGCCGGTTCGATACGATCTCCTGGCGCAGCGGTTGAAACAGCGGTGCAAGTTTCTCAAATCCCCACTGCCACTGCCTCTCTCTACCCAGCAGTAGGATGAATGGGTACAACCACGGTCGCGTGCGATGGGGGTAAAGTGTAAGTCCTCCCACATCTTCCAACGCGTCTCATCAGTGTGGGAGAATAGACCCAATCTCACTCTGGAGTAAAGGCCCTGAGTTAAACGAGTGTCAACTTCGCGTAACGGTCACTCGGTACCGGGCCGGCGGTAGCTGCGCTGCTGCACGTGGGTTCCTGTAATCCAGCACTGGAGGCAGCAGCTGCGAGGGTTGCTGGATCACCGCACAGATGTTGCGAAACTCCCTTCCCGTTGGTGTTGAGTTGTTGTACCCCAACTTGCCAGGAGAAGGCAGTACAGCGAAAAGGTGGACTCCATCTGTTCCGCCTGTATGGAATAGAGTGTTTCCCCCTCGCACGCGTGGGTGTTCTACAGGTGATGCGCTTTTCTCCCACGTGTAATCACTCCCTCGTTGGGCGATAGCATGTTGACATTTAGAGGCCCGCAGAGCTCGAACATTTGTTGGTATTGGCTAATCGCGTGGCTGCCTTCCCGCTTGTCCGCGGTTCATCGTTGCACCTCTGAGTTATCCTCTTTTCGAGAGCGAGCAGCGGTGGCGCAACATTATGAGGTGACATGGTAATACGCCGCACGAGCCTTGAACCCCTCGGTGACCCTGGATCTTTTCTACCCACAGGACCTTGTCCAACTGGGTGATTGAGTTTGACAAATGGGCACCCTCCGTGGTGAAGATCTCCTACAAGGTAAATGTATGGGGGGGCTGCGTTTGTGAATCTGTCTGTGTGGAACTGCAAGTGCCTGGCTAGAGTGGTAGGCTCCGTACTGGACTACTGACTTCACCGATTGTTGTAACGTTCTTACCCCGTTCCCCTCCTGGACATCTGTGAAAAAAAGCTTATAGCTCATCGGGTTTCCTCCAGTTTAAATAAATATTCTGATTCTGAATGTCGGCCAGCGAAACGTGTCCACTACATTGTGGCGCTGTCATGTGACGTGTGTGACGTTTGCTCAGTGGTCGCGTTGATATTTGAGACCTGTCAGAATCCTTGACTATCCCCTTGTGATGGGTTTTCCCCGTGATTGATGGAGAGTATTGGGTGTGAATGTTGGGTGTGATATTGGAGGTCCAGCAGTGGAAGGTCCTCCCCATGCACGTGCTCCCAGAGACATAGGGGCAGCAGCAGACATCGATGATTATATCAACTTATGAGGACGAAACTGGTTCAGAGTTGTCTCAGTTTCACCGCTGCCTTCCCGTTGTGAGCCTTTAGACTGTGCTCCACAACAAAAAAAACCTTGCTCTTGGCTGCTGTGCGTGCGTGGTGTGTATGAGTGTTTGCTTGTGTGTGATATGTGTGTATTTGCATTGAGTGTTGAAAAATCGGCAGGATTTGGTGTACTTTTGCAATTTTTACTTCAGTACGTTATTTATTAATATTAATTAATTACTTTTTCCTGACTTGCTTACCTTTCCTATGCTCTGCACTCCCATCGTGTTTTTGTATTGTTATAACCTTCTGACCTTCCCCCTACTGGATATCTGTGAAAAAGAGCTTTATAGCTCATCGTATTTCTCCAGGATAAAATAAAGGTCCTGATTCTGTATGTGCATAGTGTGTGTGTGGGGAGCAGTAATGTAGCATTTAGTACACTGCGCTACGAACCTGGTGAACCGGGTTCGATTCCCCCTCGCAGCCATCACCAGTGACAATTATCTGAACTAGTCCTGGGCCTCTCCTAGGTCGACTCAGCCTCAAATAAGTACCTGGTGCAGTGTGTAAATATCGCCATTGGGTAGAAAAAGATGGCCGGGCATGGTGCTGGCCACCCCCCCACTCCCTCGTGTTCCGTGCCGGTCTTAATAGGTGCTCGCTTAACAGTGTGCGTGTGTGCATTTATGTGCGTAATGGGCGTGTGTGTGTGCGCAATGTGTGTGCGTGTGTGCCTGCAAGTGCGTAATGGGCGTGCGTGTGTGTGTGCGGCACCTGTGGCGTTTGCCAGGGCTCCCCGGCTGCTCGACGTGCTTTCATGGTGCAGCTGCGTAGCGGGAAGTTCAATGTTCTTCTCACGACTTACGAGTACATCATCAAGGACAAACACGTGCTGGCCAAGGTACCCTGGCTCCGGCCAGACTCTTCCACCCTGGCTGACAGTCTTGCTCGTGATTCTAACGATGATCGTGATTTTATTTTACTAGAGCCACGCCCCGCCTTCGCGTCCAGGCGGCTTCACGTGCGATAAGAGACTTGCATCACGTATTGTCTCAACACGTTTCAACGGTCACTCCCTGTGGCAGCTGTCCCTCTTGTGGCACCAGGTGATTTAGCACCCGTCCTGCGAGCGGGCATGAGGCTCCCAGGAGGTGGGCGACGATTACAATGTTGTCTCGCCTAGGGGACCCCACCCCCGCCCAAGTGGCAGCTGTCTCCGTGGGGCACAAGGTGATCAGACATCGACCTGTGAGCAGGCTTAATTTCAGTTGAGTAATTAGTTGAGTTTTCGAATGTAGCAAATCTGGATCGTGACACCCGCCACACAATGGCCTACTCTTTTCAAGTGACGTCACTGGATCTTTAACGTCCACTGCGAGCAAAGTGGACGTCGCCAGGCATTTTATGGTGACTATACACCACAGTACTAACCAGGATGGACTGCCGGATTCCAACCGGGAATCTCTGCAACAAGCCAAAAATGCGCTACCGATAGGCTATGTCACTGCCTGTTGCCGAATCTTCATTAAATTTGCTCAATTGAAAGTGGTTTACGCTGCGCCCTATGGGTCACAATGCGCCCTATGGGTCACAATGCGCCCTATGGGTCACAATGCGCCATACAGTTTGCAATGCACCCTACGGTTCGCAATGAGCCCTACTGTTCGCAAGGCGCCATACGGTTCGCAAGGCGCCCTGCGCTTCGCAACGCGCCCCTACGGTTCGCAATGCTCTCTAGGGCTTGCAATGTGCCCTACGGTTCGCAATGTGCCCTGCGGTTCGCAAGGCGCCCTGCGGTTTGCAAGGCGCCCTGCGGTTCGCAACGTGCCCTACAGTTTAAAGGCACTCTCGGATTTGTAATGAGACCTATGCTTTGGTAAGTCTCCGTAATCACAACCTGGGCTTTCCTTGGGTTTTCTGCTTGGTGAGTGCGTAATGACGCCGCGGGTCGTACGGATTCGATTGAGTCACGTGCTAACGGGTACCGGGATGCATACGCCGGTGGTTTCTGGTGTCGATTTGCGATCTGCAAAAGCGTCCCAAGTTTCTCCGTGAATGCTCTTTGCGTGTGCAGGGAAACCCAGCGCAAAGCTAACCGCCTGGGGGACTCTATCTGTGTGCAGATCCGATGGAAATACATGATCGTGGACGAGGGACATCGCATGAAAAACCACCACTGCAAGCTCACCCAGGTGAGTCCTCGAGTTGATTTTATTTCAACCAAGGTGAGAACTCAAAGTAGACCAAAGGACGAGACTCATTTGCAAGAGTGACCTGGGTCACCAAAATTAAAAGAGTAGCAAAGTGCTACAATGATGCAGAGAGTTAATCGAAGCATGAAAAATAAGCGTGGTACAGAAGGAATTCAACGTGAATGGCGAGATAAATTATAATTTGCCCTAAACGAAAATAGGGCTTGAGCTGAAAAACCAGGCTCCAGTCTACAGTATAGACTGCCAGTACACTCACCCAGCTTAATAACCAGGCTACAGTCTATATTATAGACTGCCAGTACACTCACCAAACTTAATTTCTAGGCTACAGTCTACATTATAGACTGCCAGTACACTCACCCAGCTTAATAACCATTGCTACAGTTTACATTATAGGCTGCCAGTACACTCACCCAGCTTAATAACCATTGTTACAGTCTACATTATAGACTGCCAGTCCACTCACCAAACTTAATAACCAGGCTACAGTCTATATTATAGACTGCCAGTACACTCACTCAGACTTAGAACCAGGCTACAATCTACATTAGTGTTTTTTTATTTAGTTTGTATTCACTTTATTTAAATTTCTATCTACGTGACTTTACCGAAAGAACCAAAGAATATGTCATATATGTGTGCGTGCGTATCGAAGTTACGAAGCCTTTCAATATCATCTTTGGAGGGCCTGGTGGATTTTGGTGATATTGTCCTGAGAATCAGCAGTGCGGGCCGTGCCGAATCATATGACCTGTGGTCCGCAGCGGGGGTTACAGTGCCGACTCTTCTTCACCTTCCTTCGACGAAGTATGGGTGACCGCACCTTCCGTTACGCCTTTCCGGCCGCCTCCCCTAGGTGCTCAACTCGCACTACATCGCGCCGCGCCGCCTGCTGCTCACCGGCACGCCGCTGCAGAACAAGCTGCCCGAGCTGTGGGCCTTGCTCAACTTCCTGCTGCCTACCATCTTCAAGAGTTGCAGCACCTTCGAGCAGTGGTTCAACGCGCCCTTCGCCATGACCGGAGAGAAGGTACGCCCGTCACAGGATCGGTTGCCGCCGCAAGCCGGAAGGAGGGACGGAGCGCGAGCCCCTCGGGCCACTGCGGCATCATCTCCTTCCGAGGGCACGAGCGGAATTCGCTGGTGCCCAGCCATTGCCGCCGTTCACAACGTAGACCGCGGGTTTACTACCCCGCTGCTCAACTACGATCCACTGCAAAGGGGAAGCGTTCGTCAGGAGAACTGGCGCTGTGAACGTGCCGCGCGTGCCTGTAATCTCGCGCTGTAGAGGCAGCGGCGAGGGTTGGTGGATCGCACGTGGATGTTGCGCATCGAGAAGAAGCCATACCATGGCGCAATAGGAGAAGGCGATACAGCCCGAATGTGGGACCCCAGCTGTTCCGTCTGTATGGGATAGAGTGTTGTCCCCCTTCACACACGTGGGATTTCTCCAGGTGCTTGGGGTCCCTCCCACATGTATGCAATCATTAATTTGTCAATAATAGCTTAACATACATATAGAACCGCAGAGCTTTGCCAATTGTTTGTAGTGCTGGCTCACCTCGCTGCTGCCTCCCCGCAGGAATGTAAAATTATCTCCAGGAACATAAAATTACACTCAGGAAATGCAATGAGCGCAATGTCCATTTACTTGTTATAGCTCAGTGAAGTCTCAATTTTATTCAGCACCGTTCACACAATGCCTCACAGTGCTTGACATAAAATAATTCAAACCTGAACAAACCGTTAACAAATAAAACTGAATAACCCTAAAAAGAATAAAACAATGTAAAAGGCACTGGACCTACACAGATGAGTGGTTCACAAAAATGTTTTATAATGGGGACCTAAAAGGCTCAAGCGACTGAGAGTCCCGAACGTTCTGGGGACGAGAAGAAAGAGGCTGCGCCTGGCTGCTGCTGAAGGCTGTGTCGCCCCCTGATCCCCGATTTGGCCTAGGCACGCGCAGGTGTGCCTTGACCAAAGTTGCATAATTGAGCCTCGCGCACAGCTGCTTCACTGAGCTCGGCCGTGCGTGCGTGCGTGTGTGTGTTGGTGGGTGCGTGCGTGCATGTTCAGGTCGACCTGAACGAGGAGGAGACCATCCTCATCATCCGCCGATTGCACAAGGTGCTTCGCCCCTTCCTGCTGCGCCGCCTTAAGAAGGAGGTGGAGGCGCAGCTGCCTGAGAAGGTAACCGAGATGGCGTCGACCCCACGGGAGTCCCGATGGCTCGTGGCTCTTGACGAAGAAAGGCGGCCGGGCATGGTGCTGGCCACACCCACCCCCTCGTGTGCTGTGTTCGGCCTTTGTAGGTGCACGCTAACAGCACTTGCCTGAGCAATCTGTTAAAGGCTATATGAGGGGTCTTTGTATCTTTGTGTGCCCGTGTGACAGGTCGAGTACGTGATCAAGTGCGACATGTCAGCGCTTCAGAAGGTGCTCTACCGCCACATGCAGGCCAAGGGGGTGCTGCTCACTGACGGCTCCGAGAAGGACAAGAAGGTGCTGCTGCTGTTCTACTCACACACGTTGTAGATGTAGTAGAATGTGTGTACACGTGTCGGTACGTGTTTGCTGTGTGTGTGCGGATGAGTGAGTGTACGGCCTTTGTAGGTGCTCGCAAACAGCACTTGCCTCAACACTCTGTTAAGGCTATTTTGGGGATATATGACTTGTCTTGTATTCATGTTATTGTGTATTGGCTATGTGTTTCAATCGACTTATTGGTTCATAACTGATTTTTTTGTCAGATCACCTGTATAAATTTCATGTCGTACACCCTCCTCCACCCGACATGACCGTATCAATAACGCTGTTACGTGATGACCAAACGTGCCGCTTGGTGGCTGCCCCAACAGCCCCAGCGGTGGCGTTGCTGGAGAGCGATTCCCCACGTGGTGCACACCGGAGTGCGGACGTGGCGCTCCTACCAACGACCGGCATCGTCAAGCAGTCGCCACGATTGTCAAAGTGTCCTCCAGTCTTTGGCCTTAAATAGACTTGACACAGATATTCTGCTGTGACTGTTCCACCTGAAGACGGAAGCTTGTGTTGCCTCCGAAACGTCGTGATTTAATTGTTTTCTTTTCTTTTACTTACGTGACTTTACCGAATAAAACCAAAGAGTTGGTGGTGCGTTGTCATGAACGTGCACCCATAGGATTGCCTTTGTCCGGTAAAGGAAGGTTTACGACACATATGAATCTTAACATTGGTTGAGAAACCCCACGTGTTAAATGGGCGCGTTGGTGTCACGTGTGGACGTGTGTGCAGGGAAAGGGAGGCACCAAGACACTCATGAATACCATCATGCAGCTGCGCAAGATCTGCAACCACGTGTACATGTTCCAGCACATCGAGGTGATGTGTGCGCGGATGTGTGAAACGTTTAATGGCTTCACCGAAGTCAGCTCAAATGATTCAGAGGTTGAAATTCATGCCACGCTGTGTGATTCACATGGTCATTCATGAACAGTGCATGTGATTGCACAATTGCTCTTTAGAGCCTAAATAGTTTAAAGTAAATTTGAATTGAACCTAGCGATGTCCAACATCCGCTTACAGACACCCTGCAGAGCCAGTGGTGGAAATTCCACATTCCAATAGCTGCTTATCCGAAAAACAACCAATGACTTCCCGACAAAATGGTATTCATTTTATCTACCTCGGTGGGAGGGATGATGTCTAGAGTCAACCCCCCCCCCCCGCTCCAGGATTTTAAACTCACAACCGTCAGCTGAGCAGCCGCCTGGCAGTGAAGTGGCGGAGGCTTTGCGTTGCTCGACGCATCTCGGCTGTGATTGAAAGCCCCCCCCCCCACATGCTGCAATGGGAGAATGCTGTGTGCGTTACGGACTATCACAACGGCGCTCGTTGTTGTTGCAGGAGTCATTTTCCGAGCACCTCGGCTTCAGTGGAGGCATCATCCAAGGGTAATCCCGAGCGTGACGCCGGCCCTACGCACCATTCGCTCGTCGTGTCCCTGGGCTGTCGTTGATCTCGTTTGGAGCTTGAGCTCGGGTCGCGGCGGTGGTGGTGGTGGACGTACATTTGTGGGGAACGGTGGCGCAGCGGTTAGCGCGCTGCCCTACTAACCAAACAGCCTGTGGTTCAATTCCAGCTCACGTCCAACACCAGTGACTATTATCTGGACTATTATCTGGACCAGTCGACTTGGTCTCAAATGAGTACCTGGTGCGGTGTGTAAACATCGCCACTCAGGGAGACAAAGGTGGCCGGGCGTGGTGCTGGTCAACCCACACCCTCGTGTGCTATCCCCCAGCCTTCATAAGTTCTGGCTAATAGCACTTGCCCCAACAGTGTTAAGGCTACATGGAGGATCTACGTCTTTGGACGTATATTTTTTATTTCATTTACACACAAAGACTCTGAAATCCTACCGCCGGATTTCTTATATAACTTATTTGCCCAGGACAGCCACGCTAGGGGTGTGTTGGGCTGCGTCGCAACGCTCGAACCGGCGCTCTCGCCACTGTTTCGAGAGTGGACGCTGCAATTGTGAGAGTGAACCCTGCACTTGTGAGAGTGAACCCTGCACTTGTGAGAGTGAACCCTGCACTTGTGAGAGTGAACCCTGCACTTGTGAGAGTGGACGCTGCACTTGTGAGAGTGGACGCTGCACTTGTGAGAGGCGACGCTGCACTTGTGAGAGTGGACGCTGTACTTGTGAGAGTGAACCTTGCACTTGTGAGAGTGAACCCTGCACTTGTGAGAGTGAACTCTGCACTTGTGAGAGTGAACCCTGCACTTGTGAGAGTGAACTCTGCACTTGTGAGAGTGAACCCTGCACTTGTGAGAGTGTACGCTGCACTTGTGAGAGTGGACGCTGTACTTGTGAGAGTGAACCTTGCACTTGTGAGAGTGAACCCTGCACTTGTGAGAGTGGACGCTGCACTTGTGAGAGTGAACCTTGCACTTGTGAGAGTGAACCCTGCACTTGTGAGAGTGAACCCTGCACTTGTGAGAGTGAACCCTGCACTTGTGAGAGTGAAACCCTGCACTTGTGAGAGTGAACCTTGCACTTGTGAGAGTGAACCCTGCACTTGTGAGAGTGAACCCTGCACTTGTGAGAGTGAACGCTGCACTTGTGAGAGTGAACCTTGCACTTGTGAGAGTGAACCCTGCACTTGTGAGAGTGAACCCTGCACTTGTGAGAGTGAACCCTGCACTTGTGAGAGTGAACCCTGCACTTGTGCTCGGTTCCCACAGAGCCGAACTCTACCGCGCGTCGGGAAAGTTCGAGGTGCTGGACCGCATCCTGCCCAAGCTGCGAGCCACCAACCACCGCGTGCTGCTCTTCTGCCAGATGACGGCGCTCATGACCATCATGGAGGACTACTTCGCCTTCCGCAGCTTCCGCTACCTCCGGCTGGATGGTACGCTCGCCGGCGCCGCCGATCGCTGCGCCGCTCTCCCCTCTTCTGCTCCTCTGCCCACCGTGTTGCTTTGTTCGTTTCTTGTTTTTTATGTTTATTTTCCGTCGCGTCGTCATGCGTCGAGTGCAGAGCTGCCCCATGCTGTGTGTGGAGCAGAGGTTGCGAAAAGAGGTACCGCTGTGATATCTGCTTCTGTGGGCCGTTCTCCATGATGGGTTGCTGCACTGCTTTGCAAGTGATAACTATGCTTTGTATTTGATTCTGAATTAGTTTTATTTTTTCAGTTAGATCTAGGTATAATGTCAGTTTTTAACTATAACCCTTTACCAGCTGACGAAGCGAATCAAATAAAGTTGTCACATCATGGACAAATATGACAATTGGTTTGGGTTCTCAGCAAAACTGGAGGAATGTAGAACATTTTGACAATTCTTATTTTACATGAAGTTTCGCTGGAGACTCCAACAGCATCATCAACAAAAGCTCAGCAATTGCGAGGACAAATCTGAGAAGGACAAGATTGGCCGTGAAAGCCCTACATATAAAATAAAAAAATACTTGTTTTACTTTAACGTTTTCTTAGCGCCATTCATTCAAATCACATCTCTCTCAACACTCAGCTGGAGAAATGTGTAATGCACTGCAGTTTCCTCCAGAGGCGCTGGGGGACACAGCAGACGAATCGGGGAAGGCCACCAGAACTGGCACCACCAAAAGCCTATGTTGGGATGTTTGCCCAACTCCACGAATGAGTGTGTGAGGAAACTGACGCGTGCGAGGGCGATGTGGGGGGGGGGCTGGAGGTCACGCTCGATCCCCGTACAGAACGTGCCATTCGGGGCACCGCCGGCACCGCCGGCACCGCCGGCACCGCCTCTGACTTTGCTTTGTTCTACGCCGGGCTTGGCTCAGTTCTTAAAAAAAACAATGTTTGCCATTCCCCTGGGAAGTCTTGCCGAGCAGCTCGATCCAGGTTGAGTGGTCTCTAGCCCTGTTCGGGATGCCCGCGACCGATCGCGTTCACAGGGACACCGCGAAGCCTCTGAAGTGTTTTACGTCGAGGTGTCACCGGCAGGAGGTGGCGGTTAGTGGGATGCTGGGCTACGTCATCCCATCATTCCACCCGAATGGATCGCCAAGGAAGGGGATGCAAGTAAACTAAGGACGACTTGAAACAAATAACGTTTCATCAATTGATGATTGATCCTGATCGCCCCCAATCGGCCCAGCAGGTCGTTGGTTCTCAGACCTTCTGGCCATGTAGGTGGCTACTGAATCGAGTTGCGGCGTTACCGTGCAGGAACTACAAAAGCGGATGAGCGGGGAGACCTCCTCAAGATGTTCAACGAGCCCGACTCACCCTACTTCATCTTCCTGCTGAGCACCCGCGCCGGAGGCCTCGGACTCAACCTCCAGGCCGCCGACACCGTTGTCATCTTTGACTCGGACTGGAACCCCCACCAGGTACCCCTCATACTGTCGCAAACCACAACCCAGTGACGAGTCTGCGCTTTTCACGGTTTCGCGTAAACCGCTTCTGATTTACACGCTGCGGTGATGTAGCGGAATGGAGCGCGCACCGACTGTAAACGGAAGTTGGGGGGTGGAGACACGAGGCCAGGGGGTAAGCGCGTCTGCCGCTCGTGTAGTTTCGCGGTTCAAACCCAACCGTGCTAATCAGAGGTGTGGGGAAGGACAACAAACGAAACACAAAATGAATACTGCTTTTTTTGGGTCGAGTCGTCTAAGTATAACTCTCCTCCACCCGACAGCCAACCAATTCACATCGTCACTTGGGCAAGTGTGCCAATTGATTTGGTTTATATCGAGGACCCTGAGGTTGGACAGTTATTGGTAGCGCTGGCTAAATCCGCGTGGCTGCTGGCCTTCCAGCTTGTTTGTGTGATTCCTCCTGCTGCGTCTCTGAGTCATTCTCTGTCTTTGAGAGCGAGGTGGAGCTTGTGCCCGTGTCGTCTTAAGATCTAACATAATTTTTCATAAAATGGCGGGGGGGGGGGAGAATTTTTTAACACCACAAAAAACGCTTGAGAGTGCCAACCGCTCCAGGAAACTCGCGCACATCACGACCCCTTCATTGCCCTTCCTCTCTGCCCGCCCCCTCGGCTGCACCACCCAGGACCTGCAGGCGCAGGATCGCGCCCACCGCATCGGCCAGCAGAACGAGGTGCGCGTGCTGCGGCTCTGCACCGTCAACAGCGTGGAGGAGAAGATCCTGGCGGCCGCCAAGTACAAGCTCAACGTGGACCAGAAGGTCATCCAGGCCGGGATGTTCGACCAGAAGTCGTCGAGCCACGAGCGGCGCATCTTCCTGCAGGCTATCCTGGAGCACGAGGAGCAGGACGAGGTGTGCCTGCCCCCCCGGCAGCAGATTTTTATTCATAATTTTTACACCACCCTGTTACCTACAGCCTAACCGGGTAGTGTTAAACTACCACCTTGGAAATATAACATTTGCAAAGGTGTCCGTTGCTTGGCGTTCATTGACACACACATAGCAAACACGTAATTACACCTATGCAAACACACACACTCACTCATCATATACACTCACCCACAAAAGACAAAGATCCCCCACATAGATTGTAACAGACTGTTGGGGCAAGTGCTATTAGCTGGCACCTACGAAGGCTAGTAGGGCACACGAGGGGATGGGTGACCAGTATCACGCCCGTTTGCCTTTATCTCCCTAATTGCCATGTTTACACACCGTACCAGGTACTCATTTTGAGACTGAGTCGACCGAGCGGATGCCCAGGACCGGTTCAGATAATTGGCACTGGTGTTGGCCGTAAGTGGGAATCGAACTCGGGTCGCCAGGATCGTAGCGCAGCACGCTGACTGCTACACTACTGCTCCCCAAAACTCACGTACACTCACTCGCCCACACAAATGCACTCGCGCGCGTGCACACACACATAGAAAACACGTCTTTAACTTGTGCAGTGCACGTTTGTACAGTGAGTATCGTACCCAGTAAAACACATCGCGCCTCCGACTGCAAAACTACTGTGGGCTGGGTCTGTGAAACAGTGATGCCTTTTCGTGATTATCGCCGTGCGCTATGGGAACGTAAGCGTGAATGCTCGCGACTTGATTCGTTTGCCGATGCTCGTATAATCCACAAGGTGGCGGCAGCAGCAGGAGCAGAGCTGTGAGGCGATGAAGCCGTGTGGGCTGTAGCCGCCGGGTCACGAGGTGTGGCGGTGGTTCCGCTTAACTTCGTCCCCCTCCTCCCTCCCTCTCGTTGCATCCGCAGGATGAGGACGAGGTGCCCGACGATGAGACGGTGAACCAGATGATCGCCCGCAACGAGGATGAGTTCGATCTTTTCATGGTACGGAAACCATATTGTGACTTGTGTGGTGATCTTAAAGGGCGTTTATATTCGATTCATCGTTGATTATTTGGTGAGGCCACTTCGTAATTACCTGGCCAAATCCATGTTGTTAAGAACCCTTAACCACAGGACGCAAGCCAAACAAATATGCTTGTATTATGCATTGTGTTTAACAATGCTCCAATTATGATTTCCTATAACATCGACACAAGCCCTGCATGTCACATTATATATGCGTTCACTCTTCCCCCTGGCCATTGGGCTAATGGAGACCCCATAGCAATTGCCCCTGACCATCGTGCTCACACGGTCCACCCCATCACAGCTGTTGACGCTTCATCATAGCTACATCACACAACCATAGCCACATCACTCCATAGTAGCTCCGTCACTCAATTATAGCTACGTCACTCAATCACAGCTACGTCACTCAAACATGGCCACGTCAGTAAATCATAGCCACGTCACTCAATCATTCCTACGTCACTCAATCAGAGCCACGTCACTCAATCAGAGCAACGTCACTTAATCAGAGCCATGTCACCCAATCATCGCTACGTCACTCAATCATCGCTACGTCACTCAATCATCGCTACGTCACTCAATCATCGCTACGTCACTCAATCAGAGCCACGTCACTCAATCAGAGCCACGTCACTCAATCAGAGGCACGTCACTCAATCAGAGCCACGTCACTCAATCATAGTCACGTCACTCAATCATCGCTACGTCACTCAATCATCGCTACGTCACTCAATCATCGCTACATCACTCAATCAGAGCTACGTCACTCAATCATCGCCACATCACTCAATCAGAGCCACATCACTCAATCAGAGGCACGTCACTCAATCATCGCTACGTCACTCAATCAGAGCCACGTCACTCAATCATTGCTACGTCACTCAATCAGAGCTACGTCACTCAATCAGAGGCACGTCACTCAATCAGAGCCACGTCACTCAATCAGAGCCACGTCACTCGATCAGAGCCACGTCACTCAATCAGAGCCACGTCACTCAATCAGAGCCACATCACTCAATCAGAGCCACGTCACTCAATCATAGCCACATCACTCAATCAGAGCCACGTCACTCAATCAGAGCCACGTCACTCAATCATCGCTACGTCACTCAATCAGAGCCACGTCACTCAATCAGAGCCACGTCACTCAATCAGAGCCACGTCACTCAATCAGAGCCACGTCACTCAATCAGAGCCACGTCACTCAATCATCGCTACGTCACTCAATCAGAGCCACGTCACTCAATCAGAGCCACGTCACTCAATCAGAGCCACGTCACTCAATCATCGCTACGTCACTCAATCAGAGCCACGTCACTCAATCATCGCTACATCACTCAATCAGAGCCATGTCACTCAATCAGAGGCACGTCACTCAATCAGAGCCTCGTCACTCAATCATCGCCAAGTCACTCAATCATCGCTACGTCACTCAATCAGAGCCACGTCACTCGAGCAGAGCCACGTCACTCGATCAGAGCCACGTCACTCAATCAGAGCCACGTCACTCAATCAGAGCCACGCCACTCAATCATCGCCACGTCACTCAATCATAGCCACGTCACTCAATCAGAGCCACGTCACACAATCATTGCTACGTCACTCAATCAGAGCCACGTCACTCAATCATCGCTACGTCACTCAATCAGAGCCACGTCACTCAATCATCGCTACGTCACTCAATCAGAGCCACGTCACTCAATCAGAGCCACGTCACTCAATCATAGCCACGTCACTCAATTAGAGCCATGTCACTCAATCAGAGCCACGTCACTCAATCATCGCTACGTCACTCAATCAGAGCCACGTCACTCAATCAGAGCCATGTCACTCAATCACAGCCACGTCACTCAATCAGAGCCACGTCACTCAATCATCGCTACGTCACTCAATCAGAGCCACGTCACTCAATCATCGCCACGTCACTCAATCATCGCTACATCACTCAATCAGAGCCATGTCACTCAATCAGAGGCACGTCACTCAATCAGAGCCTCGTCACTCAATCATCGCCAAGTCACTCAATCATCGCTACGTCACTCAATCAGAGCCACGTCACTCGAGCAGAGCCACGTCACTCGATCAGAGCCACGTCACTCAATCAGAGCCACGTCACTCAATCAGAGCCACGTCACTCAATCATCGCCACGTCACTCAATCATAGCCACGTCACTCAATCAGAGCCACGTCACACAATCATTGCTACGTCACTCAATCAGAGCCACGTCACTCAATCATCGCTACGTCACTCAATCAGAGCCACGTCACTCAATCAGAGCCATGTCACTCAATCAGAGCCACGTCACTCAATCATAGCTACGTCACTCAATCAGAGCCACGTCACTCAATCAGAGCCATGTCACTCAATCACAGCCACGTCACTCAATCAGAGCCACGTCACTCAATCATCGCTACGTCACTCAATCAGAGCCACGTCACTCAATCATCGCCACGTCACTCAATCATCGCTACGTCACTCAATCAGAGCCACGTCACTCAATCATCGCCACGTCACTCAATCATCGCTACGTCACTCAATCATCGCTACGTCACTCAATCAGAGGCACGTCACTCAATCAGAGCCTCGTCACTCAATCATCGCCAAGTCACTCAATCATCGCTACGTCACTCAATCAGAGCCACGTCACTTGAGCAGAGCCACGTCACTCGATCAGAGCCACGTCACTCAATCAGAGCCACGTCACTCAATCAGAGCCACGCCACTCAATCATCGCCACGTCACTCAATCATAGCCACGTCACTCAATCAGAGCCACGTCACACAATCATTGCTACGTCACTCAATCAGAGCCACGTCACTCAATCATCGCTACGTCACTCAATCAGAGCCACGTCACTCAATCATCGCTACGTCACTCAATCAGAGCCACGTCACTCAATCAGAGCCACGTCACTCAATCATAGCCACGTCACTCAATTAGAGCCATGTCACTCAATCAGAGCCACGTCACTCAATCATCGCTACGTCACTCAATCAGAGCCACGTCACTCAATCAGAGCCATGTCACTCAATCACAGCCACGTCACTCAATCAGAGCCACGTCACTCAATCATCGCTACGTCACTCAATCAGAGCCACGTCACTCAATCATCGCCACGTCACTCAATCATCGCTACATCACTCAATCAGAGCCATGTCACTCAATCAGAGGCACGTCACTCAATCAGAGCCTCGTCACTCAATCATTGCCAAGTCACTCAATCATCGCTACGTCACTCAATCAGAGCCACGTCACTCGAGCAGAGCCACGTCACTCGATCAGAGCCACGTCACTCAATCAGAGCCACGTCACTCAATCAGAGCCACGTCACTCAATCATCGCCACGTCACTCAATCATAGCCACGTCACTCAATCAGAGCCACGTCACACAATCATTGCTACGTCACTCAATCAGAGCCACGTCACTCAATCATCGCTACGTCACTCAATCAGAGCCACGTCACTCAATCAGAGCCACGTCACTCAATCAGAGCCACGTCACTCAATCATAGCCACGTCACTCAATCAGAGCCACGTCACTCAATCAGAGCCATGTCACTCAATCACAGCCACGTCACTCAATCAGAGCCACGTCACTCAATCATCGCTACGTCACTCAATCAGAGCCACGTCACTCAATCATCGCCACGTCACTCAATCATCGCTACGTCACTCAATCAGAGCCACGTCACTCAATCATCGCCACGTCACTCAATCATCGCTACGTCACTCAATCATCGCTACGTCACTCAATCAGAGCCACGTCACTCAATCAGAGCCACGTCACTCGATCATAGCTACATCACTTTATCATAGCTACATCACTCGGCTGCCCCATGTTCTCTCCCATACTTCTGCGTAGCTTATCCTGTATTGCCACGGAATTCCCGGCATCCATCTCGCACATCTGTGCTCAAATGCCAGCAACTTCTTTTTAAGCGGTTTAAATTAGGGCCCAGCTGTCCGATCCACACAGCCATACAGATGGCACTCCTTGCCTCAAATACCCTTCTGCACCCACCACACTGCAGAATACAACAATTTACTCACTCACCACACTGCAGGTCACTGCAACCCACCCACCACACTGCAGAATACAACAACTCACTCACTCACCACACTGCAGGTCACTGCAACCCACCCACCACACTGCAGAATACAACAACTCACTCACTCACCACACTGCAGGTCACTACAACCCACCCACCACACTGCAGGATACAACAACTTACTCACTCACCACACTGCAGGTCACTACAACCCACCCACCACACTGCAGGGTACAACAACTCACTCACTCACCACACTGCAGGGTACAACAACTCACTCACCCACCACACTGCAGGCCACTACAACCCACCCACCACACTGCAGGATACAACAACTCACTCACTCACCACACTGCAGGGTACAACAACTCACCCACCACACTGCAGGCCACTACAACCCACCCACCACACTGCAGGATACAACAACTCACTCACTCACCACACTGCAGGGTACAACAACTCACCCACCACACTGCAGGATACGACACTTCTCTTTTTGCTTCTTCCCCTCGTATTGCTCCACTTTGAAATTCCCTCCCGTCATAATCCTCTCTTTTCCCCAAGCTCTTATAATGATAGTAAAATATATAATAATTAAGTATTAAAATATAACAATAGGTTTTTTTTTTCTGGCAATAAAACACATGTCCAGATGTTAAAACACCAAAGGTCTCATTGTAGCTGCTCACCCCGAGCTATAAATGCCCTGATAGTGACATTGTCTTTGTGCTGTTCGCCTTTTGGCGTTCTCTGGTCTAACACTTGAAATATCAGCTCAAAAGAATGCTGTCTCTGGTGTGGACCAATCAGTTTCAAAGACAACGCCTATATTAGCAGAGCATGTTTTTTGTTTGCATGTTCACCACAAGTACGTGTGGTTAATGCAGACAGGATTCCTTGAATAAGGATTCTGTTTGGTGTTCTAACATCTTGACATCTGTTTTATTGCAAGAAAGGGTAAAACATTGTTATATATAATAAGTATTAGCCTTGCTTGATTCGGGAAATGCCTCAACTCGATTTCAACTGTTACACGTGCTGTCTGTCCTTGGCCACTTACATATTTGGGCCTCCCGGGCCTGTCCTCGGCAAGTGTGTTTAGAAGGGGACTCGATGTGTACGGTGGTTGCGCCACCTCTGGTGGGCTGCTTCCCCCACCTACTGCATGTCCACCTTTCTCTCTATCTCTCTCGTCCCTCTCGTCGCTCCGTCTGGCCGCACCGCTCAGCGCATGGACCTCGACCGGCGGCGCGAGGAGGCGCGTAACCCCCGTCGCAAGCCGCGCCTCATGGAGGAGGACGAGCTGCCCGGGTGGATCCTGAAGGACGACGCCGAGGTGGAGCGTCTGACGTGCGAGGAGGAGGAGGAGAAGATATTTGGCAGAGGCACCCGGCACCGCAAGGACGTGGACTACAGCGATTCGCTCACCGAGAAGCAGTGGCTTCGGGTGCGTGTGGGCTGGAGCGTGTGGCGGCGGCAGGCCCCGAGTCCGTGGACCGCACGGGCGCATCGGGAGTTGCCGGCGCATGAAGCGCGCTACTCCGGTGGTTGTCGCCACATTTGTGCGCCCAGGGTGACTCCTGCAGGAGTTTTGCGTGGGGGTGGTGGGGGGTCGGCAACCATGATGGCTGTGTCATCCCAATCGAGTGATTTTGGATCATTGATATGATATACGTAGGCCTTCAAGTGGAATGTTATGATTCTTAATTCGTTTATTTTGGGTTAGCAAATTGCATAAATTTGTCATATTCTGCTGCTTGATTTTCAACATTCCTCTGGTTTGATGAAAAACCACATAAATTAGAATATTTATCCACATGACAACTTCATTTGATTGGCTCAGTTCCAGGTAAGTTTTCAAATTTGGACCACAAAGCTGGTACACAATGGCCTTATCTTCTGTTCTTTGAATTGCGTCGTGGGACCTTCAACGTCCACTGTGAAGCAGACGGGGCGGAGTGTCTCACGGTGCGGAGTGTCTCACGGTGCAGACACCCGCAGGGTTACCCGGCCAGGCAGCTTCCCAGCAGTAGAGCCAATGGCGGAGCCCCCTCCAGCAATAAAAAATGATAGGAGTTATTCGTAAGTAAGGAGTTGTCCCTTGCTTTTTATTCGACGCGTGTGCGGCGATGGCGCAGCCATCGATCGAGGTTCGAATTCGAACCGTGTGTGATCGGCATCGCGCTCGCTGAAGGTGAATGCCTTCAGGGAAGTCGTGTACTGTATACACAACTGCGCACAATTCTGAGTCACTTATAACTGCTTTGCCGTTACTTATTGCCAATTATGGACTCAGACTATTGTCCTATCATCTCAGAGTCCCTGGTACGTAATAATCTGCTACACAGTGGCAGTGGAGGTTGCAAAATGCCAATTTATTACTAATAAACCCCAATGATCCGATCGAAATTAGGGATTTTGATCAGATCATTGGGGGAGCACGTACCACCCCACCCCCCAACTGTCTCCGCCAATGAGTAGAGCGGCTCGCAATCGGAAGGTGGCGAGTTCTATTGCTGGTTCGGAGGGGTTTACTCGGTCCATCATCCCTCCCTCTGGATTCGATAAAGTGCGTCCCACTTAGTCACACAGTCAACAGTGGTTTTCCTATAAAATATTGTGGAATTCCCACCACTGCCTCAGGACTGTCAACACCAATGCTTCAATGCTCAATTGATTAGGAAATTACTCTTGACTATAACCAGGGTGGCCTGCAGGAATTGAACTGCAAACCTCTGCAGCATGAGCAGCGAACGTTTGCCGGCCATGTCGCCACACAGTCGGGCTTGTTGCTATGACGGTCACACCCTTCGCATTTGACTTTGGTCAGTGTAGGCCACCTGAGAGTGACTGGGTCTGTGTAGGCCACCTGAGGGTGACTGTGTCTGTGTAGGCCACCTGAGGGTGACTGGGTCTGTGTAGGCCACCTGAGAGTGACTGAGTCTGTGTAGGCCACCTGAGGGTGACTGGGTCTGTGTAGGCCACCTGAGAGTGACTGGGTCTGTGAAGGCCACCTGACGGTGACTGGGTCTGTGTAGGCCACCTGAGGGTGACTGCGGTGACTGCGTCTGTGTAGGCCACCTGAGAGTGACTGGGTCTGTGTAGGCCACCTGAGAGTGACTGGGTCTGTGTAGGCCACCTGAGAGTGACTGGGTCTGTGTAGGCCACCTGAGAGTGACTGGGTCTGTGTAGGCCACCTGAGAGTGACTGGGTCTGTGTAGGCCACCTGAGGGTGATTGCGTCTGTGTAGGCCACCTGAGGGTGACTGGGTCTGTGTAGGCCACCTGAGAGTGACTGCGTCTGTGTAGGCCACCTGAGGGTGACTGGGTCTGTGTAGGCCACCTGAGAGTGACTGCGTCTGTGTAGGCCACCTGAGGGTGACTGCGTCTGTGTAGGCCGCTTGAGTGCGCTACTGCGTCTGTGTAGGCCATTGAAGACGGCAACCTGGAGGAGATGGAGGAGGTGGTGCGAGCGAAACGCGCACGCAAGCGGAAGGCGTCGCCCAGCTCGGTGGGGATGGAGCCGGAGGTGATCGAGGAGCCACCCCCCCCGCCGGTCAAGGAGAGGCACAAGAAGAAGAGGGGCCGCCCCCCCGCGGCTGACAAGCCAGTGCCCAACCCGCCGTCCCTGCTCAACAAGATGAGGAAAGTCCTGGACGCAGTGCTCAAGTACAAGGACGGGTATGTGGGAGCGTCCCTTGTACAAGGCACCGATTGGCACGCGGGGTACATGGCAAACGCGGAATGTCAAGTGCCCCCCCCCCGTATATGGCCTTTAACAGGTTGGGGCAAGTGCTTTTAGCGAGCACCTACGAAGGCCTGCGAGGCGCGTGAGGGGGATGGGTTGGCCAACACCACGCCCGGCCGCCTTTGTCTCCCCAGTGCTGATGTTTACACAGAACCTAGGGGATGCTCGAACCCACTGGAACTGCTGACCCAGCGAGAGAGCTGTAACAACAAGGAGGTTATAGATGTGGCGATGGGCAAGCAAGCGGGGTCTGAGCTGGAAAGGAATTCCATCCACGGACGCAAGCACCTCAGTTGTGTTAATGGGGGAGATTAGGGAGAGAGAGATTAGCATGAATTAGCTTCCGTCGCCGCATAAGAGTATCATCCCCGCATATGCGCACTACAGCAGTGTTAATGAGAGATTAGCACCATGAGAGTGCAATCCAAAGGACGTGTGAGCATGACCGCATGTGTTGCGATCGAAACGGCGTGATATATTATTTTTATTTCGTTTTATTTTTCTACCTACGTGACTTTACCGAAAGAAGCAAAGAGTATGGATTCCTGCAGTCACGAAAGCTTCAAATCAAGATTGGGTCACTGGGTTTGTAGCATGGTGCGCTAACCACGACGCTACCACTCCCCACACTTGAATGTATACATAGCAAGCACATAATGACACGTAAACAGACATTTTAGATCCATAATATATATCTCGATGCCTCGCGTTTGTAGTGGATTCAGCTAAGTCGCAGATGTACTCTTTGGAGGCAACACATTTATTAACACCAACACATTAACACAAGGGGGTTACTGCCCCTTTACCAGATAACCTATGGTGGTGGACCACCAGGCTAATTACGCTAGTTACTGGGAGTAGCTACAACGGACAGGACCCTGCCTTGGGTCCTTGTCCACGTGTTGGTGACTTATTTTTGGACATAGAACGTAGATCTTCAGATGACAACAGCAACGCTGGAACCCCGGTCCCTGTGGGGACCCGGTTTATATGCTACCGAGTCGTGGCTGGCCCAGCCCTTGGCCACGACCACCTTCCAGAAACCTCTTGTCGTTTCTCGACCCTTCCCGTAGGATCTCACCCTGACACGTGACCACCCCCTAGCCCCGGCCTGGGGCCCCTGTGTAATTCTTACTGGTCACGTGCCTTCCAGGGTCAACCAGAGTGCCATGGCCTAGGGTAACCTCATCCCATGGCTGACACTCCCACACTCCCTCCTGAAGGAGTCAGCACTGCACGCCACGCGTGTTGTGACTGCGCTATCCCAGCGCTCACCGAGCCCCCTCTAGGGCTGGTACTACACCCACCTACGGGGTGTCCGCGATGACAATGCATCGCACGCCGTGCCTGCTAGAGCCGGCATTACTCAGTGACATTCACGATGTTGCTACATACGTGATGTCCATGATGTGAACACATCGCACACCGTGCCTCTCTGGGGTCGGCACCACACAGTGTCATCCGCGATGTCACTACACGTTTAATGATCGTGATGACTGGTGGAGAAAGGCAGCAGCAGCGACAGCTCCTGTTGCTTCACAGCTCACTAGGACATCGTGTGGCGTGACACGCTTTGAATCGTTATCTTTGGCCTGGCCTGTAAGCGGTATTTGCGAATGTGCTAAAGCCCGTGCAGTGTGAAAACAGAAAGATGAATTGCTTAATAGCCCGACCCTTCTCCGCGTCGGTCTTGCGTAAGAGCCCGGTGTGGCGCGACGAATAGACATGCGCGTCACCGCTTCATGCGGCATCCCAGGGTCTAAGGTCACAGCGATCGCGTGCTCAAACGAGCGTTTCAGACGGAGCTCGTCTACTGATCACAGTCCCGAGCCAATGATGGAAATTACACGTATTTTATGGTGGGGGCGAGTGACCACAGGACAACCGCAGTTGATTTTTTCAACACAGTCGTTCTCGCTTTATCAACCCCGGATGGAGGGATAATTGACGAAGTAAACCACCACCAACCAGGATTCGAACTCTGCAGCCTTGAGATTGCGGGCCGCTCGCTCTATCGCTGGGTGGCCACCAGGCCGGCGGTGTGTGGAGGTACGGACACGGGAGGAGGGAGGAGAACCGTCTGCTTCTTTGTTTTATAAAAACGATTTGGGAGGCGGGGGTGGGTTTGGGAAGTGGTTACAGTCACTGCCACCACCTGTGTTAAGTCACAATCTCATGACACCAGTGGGACACCTGGACCCCTCTATAGCTCAACGTTGACAATGGGACCTCACCTATTCCTGCCTTGACCAAACATAACTCAGCCGTGTCACTCACGGCGAATGCTGCAATCATGCGAGTGTGGCTCCTATCCTCGTCCCCTCCCTTCCTCTTCCCCTCCCTTCTACCCCCACCTGGGCCACCACCACTTGTGAGAGAGTATCTCACAATTCGCTTTGTTTACACGTTATCTCTCGCTCAGATCGCAGGCGCATTCCCGCTGACCGCCAGACGCCTGTGTGCATGGGCGCGTGTGCATGTGTGTGTGGGGCCGTGTCTGCAGGTCTGGCCGGCAGCTCAGTCAAGTCTTCGTGCAGCTGCCGTCACGCAAAGAGCTGCCCGAGTACTACGAGCTTATTCGAAAGCCTGTCGACTTTAAGAAAATCAAGGTGACCAAACCCCTCTCCCCGCCTTGCGTATCCCTTACATCACCGTCGCACCATGGCCGTGCGCGTGGGCGATTCTTCATTCAGCGTGGGGTATTCATGCTCGCAATAAGCACATTGCATTGCCCGTGCAGGAATCGATCATTTAAAAAAAATGTCCTCGTCCCCGTTTTTGCTAAACCCCGTAAGAATGGCCGGAGAATGTGGGCGAGGGTGGGTGGCCGGACCTCAGACATTGAACCACCGTGGCAAAAATTTGATCGTCATTGCTCCCAGAGGGGGGAAGAGAAAAAAACGACTGATCCGGACATCGCATTTTGTATTTTTAAAGTTTTATCGGTTATATCCCCCCCCCCCCCTTCACTTGTTTTCGTTTCTAATCCACCGCTCTCGATCGTTATCCCTGCGGTTGTAGGGTTAGTGTACCCGGGTAGTTTTAACCGGCCCCCATTTGGGGGAGAATTACTCCGAGGTTGCGACTGGACCGAGGACGTTGTGCACGCACAGAATGTATCCCCTCTGTGTCTCCTGTTCGTTGAGTTCAAGAATAATATTGTAAAAACTTTTTTCTCTTTTACTCGCTGATGAGCACAGGCCCAAAAGCCCCAAAATGTCAAGCGGCCTGAAACAAAATAGCCAACTTATAAAAGTTGTAATGAATCATAGTTACTACTAACATGTTTCTTGAATTGAGCAAAGTTATCATTATTATTACAAGAGCTTGGTAAACAAGAGATGATGATGGGAGGGAATTCCAAAGTGGCGTTGTGCCAGGGGAAGAAGCAGAAAGAGAAATGTTGTGACTTGCATTGTGGTGGACGAGTGGGTGGCTGTAGTGTTGTGGCCTGCAGTGTAGTGCGGTGGTTGAACATGGTGTGGGTGCAACAAAACAGTTGAATGTTAATCAGCAAAGATCCTTATCTGGCAGTTCATCTGCATTGATTTTCAAGCAAGCCTGACTGCTGATGAGACATTGAAGGTCAAAAGCAATGCTGCTGTAAAATTTCACTTCCAGTAGGTTGCATGGCCGATTGGATGTGTAAAAAAAAGTAATCGATCGGAAGAAGGGGGGCATATGTGTCTATCTGTTGATTTTGTTACCTGTATTCTTCATAACCACGCTATTGATCACGTTACAACTGGGCTACCGTGAGATGCATCTGCTGCGTGCTCTTTCACGCACTGCGGGAGGCTTCACGCACTGCAGGAGGCAGGGATGGTGGAAGGCTGCTGGTGCCGCGTGTGTGGTGTGCGCTGGAAACCGTGTCTGCCACAGGCTGCACGGTGCGATGTGCTCTGAAGCCGCCCACACTCCGCTTTGCTACAATGTCCTGAAGTTACATCTCTCTCTGCGTAGCTCGTGGCCTCTGATAACAAATTTGTCAGCAAAATATATTCGGCCGAGGACATACAAACAGACAACAAGGCCACACGGAGTTTAATCTAATTTCCACTTGCGAGAGGCATGGCCTTGCTTATTGACAAGTTACTGAGCTTGTAACATAGAAGCTTCTACGTGCGATTGAGGAGTTGAGGGCGAGCTTTGTTCGCGGAAATTGGAAGAATTGAGCGAGCAAATTCCTCCCTTAATACCACATTATTTCCACTTGTACACAATACGAGGAAGCTGCCATAGCACTGGTGCAATGGTCAGCACGCTGCACTTGCAATCTAGAGGTCACCGGTTCGATTCCATCTTCCGCCGCGGCAGTTGAAACAACTGTGAAAGTTTCTTAAAACCCCACCACAGCCACCTCTGTCCACCCAGCAGCAATGGGCACAACCACTTGCGAAGAGCAAATTTTGTTTTCGGCTTGCCATCGAACAAAGACGGTCACTTCATCCCGTGGTTTCAGATGCGCTCCCACGGCTATCTGGAACGCTCTTTCCATCCGATATTAGGAAGCCACTGGAGCTACGTACTTTTAAATCTAGATTGAAAACTCATTCTTTTTGAACTGCTTTTTGTGTTTAGTTTGTTGTCCTTCCCCGGCACCTCCGATTAGCATGGTTGGCTTCTAACATACATGCGTACATTCCAATCAACCTGTGTGCCTTAGCAAGGTAAAGGTGCAGCCCTGCAATTGCCAGCTTGCTCACGCCCTTGCGTGCAGGAGGGCCAAGGAGCTCTACAGCATATTTGGCCTGCTCTCTCACAATGAGTAGACATCTAGGAGGAGGTGGGAGTATACCCACGCTTTATCCCACCACACGCGACCTGCCGACCGACTTAGCTGTGGTTGTTACCCATTTACACTGCCGGATGGACAGAGGCAGTGGGAATTTGAGAATATTGCCACCGTTGTGTCAACTGCCGCGCCGGGAGATGGAATGGAACCGCCAGCCCCTGGCTTGTGAGTCCAGCGCGCCGCTGTGACCATTACATCACTGTGGCAGCCGTCACCGGGGAACAGGCTGTAACGAATCGCATCAAAGTTACAGGAAATGAATTTGATTTTATTTTTGTTTATGCACTGTTTTAAAAAAATTCTGTAACACAGTTCTTTTTGTACTGCTTTCTACATGATATTTTGGATCACATTTCTATTTTCGTCATTTCTGTAACCTTATTTCATCGTATTGCTCAAAATGCCATGTTGGTGAACCAGGTCAGTCACCTGTACATGAGATGATAGAATGACAGCAGTGCGTCGAGGCTCTGACACAGCAAATCTTGCGCCGTCTTATTTTACCCAGTAAAGCCACAGCGAGTCCCAAGACTTGTGTTGAGGGAGGGGTTATGCCGCATGTGGATGTTTGACCAAACACCAATGACGTGTGCTTCGCTATGGGAGGAAACCGGGAAGACCTGGAGGAAACCCAACGCAACTCTCACACACACCTCACACTCACCACACACTCGCCTCACACACACCACACACTCACGTCACACACACCACACACACCACACACACACACCACACACACACCACACACACACCATACACACACCACACACACCACACACTCACCACACACACACCACACACACACACCACACAAACACAACATACTCACCTCACACACACACCACACACACACCACACACACACCACACACTCACCACACACACCACACACCACACAAACACCACACACTCACCTCACACACACCACACACTCACCACACACACACACCACACACCTCACACACACCACACTCACCTCACACTCACCTCACACTCACCTCACACACACCACACACACACACATCACACACACCACACACTCACCACACACACACCACACACACACCTCACACACACCACACACACCTCACACACACCACACACACACCACACACTCACCACACACACACACACCACACACACACACCACACACTCACCACACACACACACCACACACACACACCACACACTCACCACACACACACCACACACACCTCACACACACCACACACACACACACCACACACACCACAAACACCTCACACACACGACACACACACCACACACACACCACACTCACCTCACACTCACCTCACACACAACAGTCGCACACTACACACTCACCTCACACACACCACACACACCTCACACACACCACACACACACCACACACTCACCACACACTCACCACACGCACACCACACACACACCACACACACACCACACTCACCTCACACTCACCTCACACACAACAGTCGCACACTACACACTCACCTCACACACACCACACACACCTCACACACACCACACACACCTCACACACACCACACACACACCACACACTCACCACACACACACACCACACACACACACCACACACTCACCACACACACACCACACACACCACACACACACACCACACACACCTCACACACACCACACACACACTCACCACACACTCACCACACGCACACCACACACACACCACACACACACCACACACACACCACACTCACCTCACACTCACCTCACACACAACAGTCGCACACTACACACTCACCTCACACACACCACACACTCACCTCACACACCACGCACTCACCACACACACCTCACACACACCACACACACCACACACCACACACACACCACACACTCACCTCACACTCACCACACACACACCACACACACACCACACACACCACATACTCACCTCACACACACCACACACACTCACACTCACCTCACACACACCACACACACACCACACACATCACACACACATCACACACACCACACATACACACCACACACCACACTCACCTCACACACACCACACACACCACACACACCTCACACACATCACACACACTACACACACACCACACACTCACCACACACACAGCACACACACCACACACACACCTCACACACACCACACACACACACCTCACACACACCACACACACACCACACACTCACCACACACACCACACACACACACCACACACTCACCACACACACACCACACACACACACCTCACACAGACCACACACACACCACACACACCACACTCACCTCACACTCACCACACACTCAACACACACTCACAACACACTCACAACACACACACCACACACACACCACACACTCACCTCACACACCACGCACTCACCACACACACCACACACTCACCACACACACCTCACACACACCACACACACACCACATACACACCACACACTCACCACACACACCACACACACACCACACACTCACCTCACACTCACCACACACTCACCACACACACCACACACCACACACACACCACACACACACACCACACACCTCACACACACCACACACACACCACACACTCACCTCACACACCACACACCTCACACACACCACACACCTCACACACACCACACACTCACCTCACACTCACCTCACACTCACCTCACACACCACACACTCACTGACCACACACACCACACACTCACTGACCACACACTCACTGACCACACACTCACCTCACACACACACCACACACTCACTGACCACACACACCACACACTCACTGACCACACACACCACACACACACCACACACACCACACACTCACCTCACACACCACACACTCACCTCACACTCACCTCACACCTCACACACCACACACTCACTGACCACACACACCACACACACACCACACACACACTACACACTCACCACACACTCACCACACACACACCACACACACCACACTCACCACACACACACCACACACACTACACACTCACCACACACACCTCACACGCACCACACACACACCACACACTCACTTCACACTCACCACACACCCCACACACACACCACACACTCACCTCACACTCACCTCACACTCACCTCACACACCACACACTCACTGACCACACACACCACACACTCACTGACCACACACTCACTGACCACACACTCACCTCACACACACACCACACACTCACTGATCACACACAACACAATAAAATAATAAAATATATATAAAACAATAAAAATTCTCACGAAGTTTCGACCATAACACAAACGGTCGTCATCAGGTGTGAAAAAACCAACGGCAAGAAACATTTGAAAGTGTTGGTTTGCATTAATTTATTTATTTTAAACGGTGTATTTACTTATTTACAAAAAAACGTCAGCGCTACGCGCAGCGATTTGGCAGTTTATTTAGAAGGACGAGTCCATCTATGTTCTGAGAAGAGGAGGGGGGAGACGAACAATTAATGTATGCTGTCTGAAAGCCACCGTAAGCGTGAACAATCAATTAAGACCTGAAATGGTTTATCAAATCCTTCCAATGATTGCTAAGCCAGAATCCATCTTCTCGGTTGAAATTGTCTCTGTGATATGTGGATAGCCTCATGAACGAATCTCTCATGGTAGCCAGATGGCTTACAAAGAACCTCTGTCTTGGAAAAGTCAATGTCATGTGAGCCTACTGAATTATAACAATGATCTGCCATGGCCGAGGTGTTGGTCCTACCGTGTTTAAGGTCTGCTTTGTGTTCACGAATGCGGTCCGAGACATGGCGTTTGGTTTCTCCAATGTAACTACTACCACAGAGGCAACTTAGTTTGTAGACACCAGGGCACGGTATGTCCGGAATCACATCTTTTACAGACGGAACCAGATCACGGATTTTATGTAATGTGTTGAAACGGACCTGGATCTTGTGTTTATTCAAGATTTTGGAGATCTTTTTTGTGATCCCCGCAATGTAGGGTAAAGTGATGGTTTTGAAAGGCTCCTCAAGAGGGTCCTTCTTCATGGTTTGAGTAATAGCTTTGCGGATTGTATAGTCGGAGTAACCATTAGCCTTACGAGCTTGGTGTACGTGCTTGAGTTCCCTGCCTATGTGTTCCTGGTCGGATATGCATTGGGCTCTATGGTACAGAGTCTTGATGAGAGAATTCTTCTGTGATGGATGGTGGTTGGAATCCCGTTTCAGATAAGCATCCGTATGGGTAGCTTTCCTGTAAACAGAGTGGCTCATTGAACCATCAGGTCTCTTTTTTATTAGGACATACAAAAAAGGTAGCTTGCCATCTTTTTCGACTTCCATGGTAAATCTGATGGCTGGGTGTATGGAATTGATGTGGTCGAAGAATTGGTCTCGTGCAGGCCGGCCATGTGGCCAGATGACAAAAGTGTCATCCATGTACCTCTTCCATAAGGTTGGGCGCAGAGTGGCAGTCTGGATGGCATCAGTCTCAAATTTCTCCATGAAAATGTTAGCTATAACCGGAGATAGGGGGAAGCCCATTGGGGTGCCCTCAGTTTGTTTGTAGAAAGTTCCATTCCAAGTGAAGTATGTCCTAATAAAAAAGAGACCTGATGGTTCAATGAGCCACTCTGTCTACAGGAAAGCTACCCATACGGATGCTTATCTGAAACCAGATTCCCACCACATCCATCACAGAAGAATTCTCTCATCAAGACTCTGTACAATAGAGCCCAATGCATATCCGACCAGGAACACATAGGCAGTGAACTCAAGCACGTACACCAAGCTCTTAAGGCTAATGGTTACTCCGACTATACAATCCACAAAGCTATCACTCAAACCATGAAGAAGGACCCTCTTGAGGAGCCTTTAAAAAACATCACTTTACCCTACATTGCGGGGATCACAAAAAAGATCTCAAATCTTGAATAAACACAAGATCCAGGTCCGTTTCAACACATTACATAAAATCCGTGATCTGGTTCCGTCTGTAAAAGATGTGATTCCGGACATACAGTACCCTGGTGTCTACAAACTAAGTTGCCTCTGTGGTAGTAGTTACATTGGAGAAACCAAACGCCATGTCTCGGACCGCATTCGTGAACACAAAGCAGACCTTAAACACGGTAGGACCAACACCTCGGCCATGGCAGATCATTGTTATAATTCAGTAGGCTCACATGACATTGACTTTTCCAAGACAGAGGTTCTTTGTAAGCCATCTGGCTACCATGAGAGATTCGTTCATGAGGCTATCCACATATCACAGAGACAATTTCAACCGAGAAGATGGATTCTGGCTTAGCAATCATTGGAAGGATTTGATAAACCATTTCAGGTCTTAATTGATTGTTCACGCTTACGGTGGCTTTCAGACAGCATACATTAATTGTTCGTCTCCCCCCTCCTCTTCTCAGAACATAGATGGACTCGTCCTTCTAAATAAACTGCCAAATCGCTGCGCGTAGCGCTGACGTTTTTTTGTAAATAAGTAAATACACCGTTTAAAATAAATAAATTAATGCAAACCAACACTTTCAAATGTTTCTTGCCGTTGGTTTTTTCACACCTGATGACGACCGTTTGTGTTATGGTCGAAACGTCGTGAGAATTTTTGTTTGATATATTTTATTATTTTATTGTTTCCCTTCAACGTGACTTTACCGAAAGAGCTAAGAATATGACCACACACTGTCAACAAAGACAACGATCCCCCCCCCATATCCTGTAACAGACTATTGGGGCAAGTGCTGTTAGTACCTATGAAGGTCGGCAAGGCACACGAGACAGTGGATGGCCAGCACCAAACCCGGCCAATGCTCATGTTTACACACCGCACCAGGTACTCATTGATGGATTAGTTGATGTCGGGGAAGGCCCAGTACCAGTTCAGATATTCATCAGTGAGAATCAAACTCGGGTTGCTAAGTTCATAACTCAATGCGCTAACAACGACACGACCGTTCCCCACCTCATGATACCCACACTCGCACACCCATGCATCGCTCACGGTTGTGTGTGTCGCGGTCCCCCAGGAGAGGATTCGAATCCACAAGTATCGCAGTCTGGATGACCTGGAGAAGGACGTGATGCTGCTGTGTCAGAACGCGCAGATCTACAACCTCGAGGGGTCTCTGGTGAGCGTCTCCTCCAGCACCGGGCCCCCGCAGCGCTCGGTGCTGGATAACATGGCCTGTGTTCAAGCATTATAGCAGCGGTGATGCATCCAAACTTCCCCTGTACATTAACCCTTCCTCTTTCCGAAACGTCTGCAAGTTACAGGGAGGGTGTCCCGTTCACCGCTGAATCTCGGAACACGCAAGCGGTTACCGTTAATTATATTTAGAGAGGCATAGCGCTGCAGTTTACAAAGACGTGGTACTGTACTCATCGCAGAGAACCGTAGCGACAGGACCGCACTCGATGATCGCCGGCGCTAAACTGTCACACGCCCTCCCACGTGGCCTTTTACTTCCGATTCCATTCAGAATTGATTCGGAAGAAAAACCGATGACGCATGCGTACGTCATGGGAGCGGGAAAGGATTAATCAGTCCCACTCCTGAACCTCCTTCCGTTCCTCTCGTCAAGTCTCACCTCTTATCCATTGCCCGTTCCCTTACTCGTCCCTCCACTATTTCCCGTCCCTCCCCTCCCCTGCTCTCTCCTGACCCCACGTGCCTTCTGTTTTACGGTCGCTCATTCCTCGGGCCTAGCACGCCCCTGCTATCTAAATCACTCTATTTTTGTTACCGCTGTTAAACTATGTGAAGCACCTTGAGCTAACGCGCTATATAAATATTAATTAATAATCCAGCTGCATGCCGTCTGCACTAAAACTCAAGTCTGGGCGAATTTCCTGCTTATCTCCCTTATACAGTCATGAGCCAGTTGGTGGAACCTCCACATTCCTATGGCGGGGCTAAGTCCATCCATAGGACAACCACTGTTGACTTAGCACAGAGTGGTATTGCATTTATTGGCTCCAGAGAGAGGGATAATGGGTTGCGTAAACTCCAAAACAAGATTTTATAACTCGCAACCTCGCTGTTATCCGCTGAGTCAGCGTGGAGAATGGATTTCCCGGCCGTGTACTCCAGAATAGAAATAAATAACCAGACGATAAACCTCTTCCTTTTCATATCCGTGTCTCCATGTTAAACATTAAAGTCGTTTTACACCTCCCTTCAGCCACACGGCCTTCTGGGAGTGCCATCATTTCAGCAATATTAATTCAACACAAGAAAAACTCCAGACTGTTTTTTGACATTCAGTGTCTATAATCATCAGCATAGTAAGGCTTGCTTGCTAGAACCAATGCTGGTGAACTGCCAGGTGTATTGGATCCTCTTTGCCAGACATGGTTCCTAATTCAATGCAAACTGTAAAACAAAATCACGAAATAATCAGTAGCGTTGTGGGGGAGATTTAAGTAACAATAAATAATAATAATAAATTCGGTTTTCTATAGTGTCATTCTCATAAGGTCTCACAGAGATTTATATGAGACTCACGTTATGGAGAAAGACTGTAACAAACAGGTGAGTTTTAGAACATGATTTAAAAAGTGTAACAAACTCAGATCCCCTATTGGACCGGGGAAGGGAATTCCACGTTTGCGGAGCTTGGATGCACACAGCTCAATCTCCCATCAAACAAAGCTCCGGTCTTTGGAATAACGAGTAGACCTGAATCGCAGATCTAATATAAAACCTAAGCAGATCGGTGAGATATTCAGGATCCAACTCATTCAAGGCCTCAAACGTGAGAAGAAAAATCTTATATATATATTTTTTTTTTTTAAAGCAGACGATACGCCTTCGCCACGTGTACAACTGCAGACGAACCAGAGTCCGTATCACAACCGGTCGTCACATTCCACTCTGGAGCAGTGAATTGGGGGATGGGGGTGGGGCGCACGCTGCGGTTTTGACTTGAGGCATTGTTGGCAAAGTTTCAAGAAAATGTAAGAAACAAATCTCACCCGGGTGGGAGGGGGAGGGCAGGGGCGAGGGGGGGATTGTGTTCTCTTCCTGATGTAAGTAAGAGCGTATCGGTTGCTTGTTTCTTGAGCGTGCCGGTTGATGTTCTACACCGGGAGTGACCTTGTACCACCGGTGGGGTGGTGACTGCTAGATCTACGAAGACTCCATCGTCCTGCAGTCCGTGTTCACGAGCACGAGAGAGAAGGTGGAGAAGGAGCCAAGCTGCGATGACGTGAGTGACGATGATGAAGATGATGACGGCTCTGAGTCCGAGTGTAAGCTGATTCTCTCCGCTCCTTCCTTTTTTCACGCTTTAAGCGATGTTGCTGGCATATGCACGTGCTTTTTGTTGGGATTCTGTTAACTTGCACTGTTTATCTGCGCCGGTAACACCACTACATTTTTAATCTCAAAACGGACATTTACATCGCATTGCGCAGAGGGTCGCCGGTTTGTGCGTCTCTCGACGTCGTCGCTCTGCGAAAGCACGGCCGTTCTAATTTCCCTTTGTCTGACACCCCACTCGGTGAAGGTGAAGATCAAGCTCGGAAAGAAGAAGGAGAAAGGGAAGGAGAGGGAACGGTCTCGCGTGGGCCGGCGGCGGTCGGGCCGCGGGGCCAAATCCAGGCCCGTGGTGAGCGACGACAGTGCTGATGAGAACAACGTGAGTCAAAGCCAAATTGAAGAGTCCTCCTCCTGGGTGACTGCTGTTGATGCGAGGGATCATGACGCTGTGGATTAGTCCCGAGTCGTTGCCAGCTCTCTCTCTGGGTCACGGTTGTGGATCTTTTGAGCTTTTTTGTTCCGTTGATTTTGTTCAAGCCCGGGTCGCCAAAATTACAAAATCATTCAAGTTCATTTCAATACATCAATGAAGCAGATTGAAAGCAGACTAAAAAACTACCTCATAGAAATCAGAGCAAATGCAATCGCAGTACAAATAGAATTGAAAACATAAACATTTAAATAACTATTCTGCAATGATTTCACGAATTGCGTTTACAAGTTTATTCATAGTCCAATTAAGTAAAAAAACACGTATGTATGTAAATAAACGAGGATATACGTATATCCAACCGCAGGTGAACTTATTGTGGGCATTTGTGCCTTATAAATCATGCCAAAAGAGCGTTGGCTTGATAGGCGGCGCTGTGACCAGTCCGTACCGCCTCCCATGGGCCGTCTAAGCCTGAAATGAGTTGGAAGTGAGGGCTTTGCTAACGAGGGTCAAGGCAGCTGAGTATGTGTGGAGCGTTCCTTCACCGCCAACTGTCTCGGTTGAAATTCAAAGCTTTCGCTTGGCAACATTCAAGCCTGCAGTTGTTTGTGTTGGATCATCTGTGGGCCCTTGGCCCGATTTTAACGTGGCACGGGTGAACCCCCATGCCTCAGAGTTCAGGAAGGACTGGTGTTCGATTCCCGACTCGGACGCTTTTCTGCATGGAATTTGTATGTTCTTCCCCCTGTACTGCAATGGGTTGCTTCCTCTGGCAGTCTCCGGTTTCTCCCGTAGCTCAAAGCATACAATGTAACTGGAATTGGCCACAACTCCCCAAAGAGTCTGTATTTTTGGGTAAAAAGTTATTGTTTTAAGTGAGTATTTCCGTGAAACAAGTTACTCGCATTGCCACGCTCAGTACCATTCTTAAAGGAAAGAATGGTGAACTGATCTTTGACCACCAGGAACAGGTTTACATAGCATTTTTGTGAGGTCTTGGGGGAGGAGAAACCCCTCTATGGGCTATGGTGGGATTGGCCCTGCTTGGGCTGTATTTCGTCATATATTAGAGGAAGTAACCGCTTCTTGTGAGTGGCTGCCATCTGTGAAGGAAACGCAAAGAGTGATCCAGAGCCTGAGACCATGCACAGTGCTGGGTAGAGATGTAGGTCATTTGAACAGAACATATATTTGCTTTTTGACCTGGTTAATGCGTATGGTACCATAAATAGGACTGAGCTTTTGATTATAATTCTTCATGGTTTCAAAGTTCCTGACCCTCAGTTCACAATCATGAAGGACCTTCGTGATGGTGGACATGCCTGGGTAAAGCTTCGTGGCCACGAGTCAGATCCATTTTCGGTTTACCTTGGGGTGCAACATGGATGTTGTATAGCCCCTACGCTATTTAACACCTTTTCCCACCTAATTTAATAGGCTTTTCATGGCTGTACCGGTGGAATTTCCATCTGGTACAGATACGATGTGAGGCTAATCTATGCCCGGGTGCGGGGATGGCTCGCTTTTTGTGTCAATCATGTTATGTGTGCAGATAGTCTGGCAATTGCTGCCCACTGAAGAGTTGGATAAGCTACTGCTGAACCTGGAGTGTGCTACTCCTTTCATGTAATCGAATGCTGCCCTCCTTGCACTCTCCATGAGTGATAGGGGCAGTTGTGGAGAGGGTAGAGAAATTTCTATACCTGGGCAGTGTGCTTACAACCAGCTCCGGTTTGGCAGCGGAGGTCACACTCCGAATCAGTCGAGTGGCATCTTTTAATCAGCTGCGTAACTTGAGGAAGCTACCTGGCCTGTCGCTCCATACAAAGCTCTAGGTCTTCTGGAACACAATTATGCCCTACCTTCTCTAAGCTTGTGAAACGTAGAGCCCTTTAAAAGAACATCTGTGCTGGTTTTAAACATTCAGGCTGGCCTGCCTATGATCCATCGTGGGTTTAACCAGACTGGATTGTGTGAGGAGCTCACAAATCCTTGTAAGATCTGGGCACAGTCCCATCTGTGAGCTCCTCCGACAGGTGCGGCTGTGTTGGCTGGGTCATGTAACCCGCATGCCCAACCACCGCATGTCCAAGCAGCTTCTGTTTGGCAGGATAGAGGGGGCTAAACGAGCGGAGCACCGGGCGGCTAAAACGCAGCAAGTTTGCACAGTGGGGGGGAACGCAGGTGGGGGTGCATTTGCCAGTCATCTCAGTCAGTCAACCCATGGTACCTGGGTCTGTCCCATGACCTCTTTCCAGCGAGGCCTCCACACTTCACACAGCCTCAAGGTGCAACTCGCCCGGCACAAGCGCCGTGGTGATGTCACCGTCATCGTGGCGAATGGCAGTTGTGTGTAAATGTGTGTGAGCGAGAGCGTGTAAATGTTTGTCTTGTTGTTTACAGAGTTGGTATATTTTCTTTATATTGTGAATATGTAATAATTATTCTAAACGGCTTTGATTTAAATAAACACTTCTGGTATTGAGCTACTGTGGATATGGAAACCTTCCCTTCCTGTCCCGGTCCTCTTAGATGGCCCTGCACAGCATTCATCATTAACCACGCCCTTGCATTTCACGTGTACATTTCTGATGGCTCACAAACGATGGCTTTAAATGCAGCAGCTTTACTTTTAAGAGATGCGTTACAACTGGAAATGTTGCCTTGCGCATTCTGAGCTCGCCACTGTGTTACAAGGGCATTGTGATTCTGATATTTTTCAGGGTCAGTCGGAGGTTAGTAGCGAAGTTGAGTGAAAGATCGACGTCATTCCAGACGCACGCCCTGCGTCGTGGTGGAGCGGCGTTTTGAGTGAGCGGCGTGGATCGCAAATGCGCGTCGCAGCTCGCGCGCACGGAGAAACCTTGACTCGTGTGCATCTAAAGTCCACACGCACGCACCGTTGCAACACAGCGTTTACGTGTTACCCAACGGGCCCGTTTTTATCACCGCCGGTGTGTTCTTCTTCCAAACCGATGTTCGGATCTGAAGCGGTCTCTTGGAATGACTGACGGTAGTACTTGTAGGATTTCAGTCCTAGATCTTCATGTTTGCATGAACATTTTCTTCAGGGGCCAAATGCCGAGGGCCACCCTCTCTGTGTTGTCGATGCCGCGTGCAGACGCTGGCTGCTGAACGAGTGTTAGCGTTCGCACGCCCCGGTTGCAGGTTCAGTTGGTCACGTTTCCTGCAGCGCTCGTCAAATACAATTTCGTGTGGTGTATTGATAATCGTATCGGTGTTTCATTCTCGCGTCACGCAGACTCTAGCATGTATGTAGCAGGCAGCTTTTTATATTGCAAATCCGGTCCAAGTTAAAACACTAAGGAGGTGGGGGGGCAGGGGGGGTGCTTTTGAGGTGCAATGGATGATTCGTTTTCCGGAGTGGGCCCACAAGATGGTGTGCGTGGCATATTGGTGCTCGGTGGCGGTGCTGAGTCGTGGGTATTTGGTGTTGCCGCGTAAAGCCCAACCGGTTTTTTTCTCAGTAAAAAGCCGTAAAATGCAATTACGTGTAAGCACCAGTTGCATTTTGTTTTGAGAAGCTTCCAGTGCGTGAGATTAATGAACTTGTGAAACGACAAAATAAACACCTAACATTACACACGTGTGTCCGCTTTGATGTATTTGCTGCTTGTGCGATTGTTTTTACAGCGCCCGTTACCCAAGAAGCGTTGATCTCAAGACTTTTTTTCAAGAGGGTTCTGCAAACTTTTAATAGTAGGGGCGACAATTTCTGAGTCCCAATTAAGTACGAGTAAATTTCCAGATTTGGCAATTTTGGCCTACGTCGCAGAATCTTTTTTCTTAATAGAGTTTTTTTTTGTGGGTTAGATCGCGTAAATATATAAATGTCTTTTAAACCTGCCACCATCCGACACAGCCAACAAATAAGAGTTGTCACATAAACAGAACATGTCAATTCGTCACTAGTACAGCACACCGGTGTGTTGGAGAGCCAAACCACAACATCTTTATTGTCCGTGGAGTGAAGCAGATGTAGCCGGGACCATCTTGTCTCCTGCTACGATCGTAACGAGAGCGATCGATCTGCTGTTGTCACAATTGGTTGTGGTGGCTGTTTGCATGATGAAATTCTTTCGCACCTTACGTAGCTAAGCATGCCAATCGAAGGTGCTATCGGCCAATTAATGAGCACATGTGGAAGTAAACCAGAGCAACCGGAAAAAAACCCAAGCATGCAAGGTGTAAACACTATCCCATACAGACGAAACACGTGGAGTCTTTTACTTTACTGCTTTCTGGTGAGCCAGAATATGGCTCCTCGAGTTCTGGTTTACAGGCGTGCGGCCACCACCGCTCAGATGGGAGTGTCGTGTCCTCGCAATGTGAGAGGCCTTGAATAAACGGAAGTTCCTGAAGTAGCCACAATGATATTTCAATGTGGAGCCCTCCAAACATGATAAGTCTGTCCTCTCCGTGAATTGCGGGCCCATTCATTGAATGTGCTTGTAGTTTGGAAATATGTCGCAGTCACAAGTCAGAGCAGGAATACAGACAGGGTTCAGTGATGGATTGCAAAACATTCGTAGCATGCTTCACCATCACTGGGGAATCTTTTCAAAGAGGATAAGTAGGGCAGATGAGACAAGCATGGTTAGCAGCCCAATATATAGCCTCACCTTTCTCCAACGTATCCACCTCAAGCATAACGTGTGGGATCCATGCCTGTGCCTTGGCTTTGGCAGGCAGACTATAGTTTGTCCTTAAAATGGCTTGTGGTAACTTTAGGTCATTTTATTTACTGAGAGGTTCAGATACACTGCATGGACTATACTGAAGGAATCTGGAAGGTATGCCTTACTCCTTGCATATTTTTGTGGGGGGAAAATAAGGAACCTCTACAAAACTCAAGGAATCTCGAGAAGGAAACTGATGCACAACTGATGCCACCTCCACGAAACACGACCCCTGAAAGCGCTGTAGCGGAAGATGGGTTGAAGTCAATGTTATCTAGGTCCCTGAAAGTAAAAGAGACCCTTTCTCAGATTGGAAGGGCAAACTCCACACCATCTTTCTCGAACTGCTCGCATGTTTTCTAACTGCAGCACCTGATTGTTGGAGCTGCTGATATCCAGTTTGGCGAGCTGGTCAATTGACGGTTCTATTTCTGATTAGGATGTGGCTGTTCATACCAACGTCGATGGGAACAGGAGATTCTCTCTTGTGTGGAGTGTCGACTGTAACTTGCCTTGACTGTGTATATTTTATTGGCGCTGTGGAGAAACACCTGAGAGATGATGAGACGAGCTGGAGAAGCTTCTACCTCTCCTTCCAAGGTCGTCACGTAGAAGACCACTGATGTTAGATGTCTGCTCCTGGGAAGATTTTTAGACAATTATGGAGGGGGGCTTCCAGAAAATTTGAAAATGTCTTCCTTGAACATTTCCTCTCTGCAAATCTTTACAACCTCTCTGAAAAGGAAAAGTTTGCTATCATTGTTATGCACAAGGAAGGCAACTTTTGAGCATCTGCGGCATGCTCTTTGTAAGTAAAAGGGCAATATTCTTTCCATCTGATTGCTCTTCCAAAACCATTCCATCAAAAAGGCCCTGGCTCTGAAGTGGGTTTTATTAATGGAGATAGGTTAAATTATTTCTACTTTAGTAATCCAAATTTCAGTCCATTAGGTCACTTAAAGACTGAAAATGCAGATTTACATCACATGCTGAAACTACGGGGTTATTGCCTTTGTAGATCGGCGCACAGGAACTTTGTGCATATTTACCAACTCTTTTTTTGTGTGGCTGATGTTGATGGAGAGCAACGGCTGTAAATTTACACTGACGTGGTAGAGTAGGACGATAGCGCCAGGAGCAGCTGAGGGTGTCGTGGTTGTGATGACTCCCACGTCGTTATATGTCGTTAGTTGGTGCTGTTCTCGGTGACCATAGTCGCACATTGCCGGAGAGTTTTTTGGTTTTATATATTTAATTATCTTACCTTTCAACGTCATTATGTCTGTGTGTGGCCGCCACTTGCGAGGGTATACGTTTAAAAAAAGTACCCAGGTAGCACGGCATAAGCCCCGTGGTGAGCCAGCGCTATTCCAATTTCGCGTCCATCACCTTTAAAGTACTTTAATTAGCGATTTAGTGGTGTTTTTTGTAATTTATGTATTACCTTGCGCCTCCCAGCGCGCGCCAAAGCACGCATTTGCTCCCCTACCAAGGTGTACACGCGTTCCATGTGGACACTGCGCATGAAACATTTATTACCATTACTGTTTACTCATTACTATTCCTGTTGCCTCGTCGTTACGTGAGGGAATGACACTTATGGACACGTTTTCTCCTTTAAAATAGGTACCTTTCTAAATATCACTGTCCTGCTCACAAAAAAAGTTTGAGGGGAATAAAAGTCTTTTTTCGATTTAAAGCTTTCGTGACTGCAGGGATTCATCTTCTTAGTTCTTTCGGTAAAGTCACGTAGAAGGGAAACAATAAAATTATAAAAATAAAACATAAAATAAAATTCTCACGACGTTTCGGCCACAACACAAGAAGCCGTCCTCAGGTGAAGAAACAGAACTGTCGGAAAGACAGCGCTCCAATTAACACTGCTAAGCTTGGCAGCGTATCTAGCATTGAAGTAGCTATGTTAATGTGCGAGATTAGCAGGATGTTAAAGTCAGAAATTAGCATGTAACTGGGAGATTAGCATGATGTTAATGTGAGGAATTAGCATGTAACTGGTCACGGAAGTAGCTATTTTTTTTATTTAAAGCTTTCGTGACTGCAGGGATTCATATTCTTGGTTCTTTCGGTAAAGTCACGTAGAAGGGAAACAATAAAATACTAATAAAAAATAATGCTTTATATTTTTATTATTTTATTGTTTCCCTTCTACGTGACTTTACCGAAAGAACCAAGAATAGGAAGTAGCTATGTTAAAGTCAGAGTTTACATATCAACAGAGGCATTTAGTATATTGACGCTAAAGAACTGCAACTACCCAACTATCATACTGTTGAGGTATAAGGACGACACGAAGAGCAGTCGTTGTGGGGGCTGACGCCAAACTGTTTATTGAGGGCTTTTCGCCTAGGTTTAGGGGAAGGGTTAACACAGGACTTGGCTAAGCTAATCTCCCCAGGGGAAAGGGTACTGGCAATCCCTACGCCTCCCCTATCCTGGGTTCCCACTCCCCTACCGCTCACAAACCCGGCTCCCGGCGAAGACCTCGAACACGTCACGGGTCCCCCCTCAAATACCCCGAGGGGACATGACGTCACTCCTCCCGAGGCGAGTGTGACATCCCGTCACCACTCTACTCCTCAACAATACAATAAACCGATGTGAAAGAACTAAATATAAACTACATCAATATAATCAATGTACTCAATATATTCTCCACTAAGCTGAGCTACTAACATTAAGTCATTATACATTACACTGCTATGTCGCAAAAATTATTATAATATGCCTCCAACTAATCTTTTTATTATAAACTGCCATAGACAGACCCCAACATTGAATTATACACTGCGTTACTATACACTACCCTATACTTTAGACTATAATAATATTAGACTTGTAATATTACACTATGTATTATTCTAACAACCCTACTGTATACCACACTGCTGTATATTCACTATACAATTACGATACTATATATTACCAAATAAATTATATTAAACATTACACTGAAAGGTACTGAGAGATTAGCAGGATGTTAAGGTGAGAAATTAGCATGTAACTGGGAGATTAGCATAATGTTCGTGTGAGGGATTAGCATGTAACTGGTCACGGAAGTAGCTATGTTAAAGTCAGAGTTTACATATCAACAGAGGCATTTATTATATTAACGCTAAAGAACTGCAACTACCCAACTATCATACAACAAACCGATGTGAAAGAACTAAGTATAAACTACATCAATATAATCAATGTATTCAATATATTCTCCAATAAGTTGAGCTATTAACATTAAGTAACTGGGTATACACTACACTATATAATGACTACCATATAGTGAACCGATAAAAAATATATAAACTACATCATTATCTTTTGATTTAAAGCTTTCGTGACTGCAGTAATTCATATTCTTAGTTTTTTTCGGTAAAGTCACGTTGAAGAGAAACAACAAAATAATAATATATATAAAACAATAAAAAATTCTCACGACGTTTCGACCATAACTCAAACGGTCATCTTCAGGTGTGTTGGTTTGCATAAATTTGTATTATTTTGTTGTTTCTCTTCAACGTGACTTTACCGAAAAAAACCTAAGAATACATCATTACCATCAAAATACTCAATATACTCTCCAATAAGCTGAGCTACGAACAATAAGTCATTATACATTACACTTCTATGTCGCAAAAATTATTATAATATGCCTCCAACTAATCTTTTCTCTTACATCTCACGACTATACCCCGTATTTTAAACTGCCATAGACAGACCCCAACATTGAAGTATACACTGCGTTACTATACACTACCCGATACTTTAGACTATAATAATATTAGACTTGTAATATTACAGTATGTATTATTCTAACAACCCGACTGTATACCACACTGCTGTATATTCAATATACAATTACGATGCTATATATTGCCTTATTAGTTAT